ACTCTGACTGTTTTTATATGAGCGCATATGTGTACACATCTAATCCTATTCATCACATGTCTGTAACCTATTTTTATCTGGCTATAAATATTAGTTAGCGCTTGATTAAATAGAGTTGAATCACGTGCCTTCTCCGCCGTGCGTCATTTCCCTTCGATCTCTTCTATTCAATTCATCCCTCTGAATTCTTGTCCCGATCAATAAGAGTACAAAATATATGCATTCAAAAATCCATCCGTTATATACACTCAAGCAGACTAAGTCGATAATTTTATACGAGGAGAGACGACATGTGTATTTCAATAACAAGCAATGAGAAACGATCAAACTGGAGTCCTATTCAGGGCTACAAAAAAACCCAACTGATTAATCACGACCAATGAGACTAACATAGACAAATTCTGACCCGCAGCTGAAAAAGAATGTAAAATTTTGATTATTTTAATATTCTTAGTATAATAAAAATTGGTTTTTAGTATGACTCAGTATCGCCATAAAATTTTGCCTTTAGTAGTTTAAACTACCAGAATCACTTAATTTGTAGGAGCTCATTGATAAAACTAAACAAAATAGGAAAAATTGATATAATTTATCGATTCAATCTGATTACATGAAATATATCATTTTTAGTGATAGGAGTTATCACCATCAATCGGCACTGTTAAAAGTATCAATGAATAACAGAAAATACTTGTGAATACTTTTAAAACTTCATTTAACTTTGTCAATAGGATTCGATCTGCACTAAAAAGGACCTGACACACATGACAATAATCACCGCCAAGTAGTCAATCAGTTGTAAATACATCTCAGACCCACAGGATGTTAATTGAGCCCTGGATAGCTCAGTGGTAATCTAGATGACGCGGCATCGGATCTGTCAGGGAGCAACAGTTCCCTCAACATTACAGGAACATCTTTCTGAGGAGCGCTAAATAGCACGAAACATGGGTCCAGGGTTTACTGTTGACTACTTCCAACCACTATCTTATCTCAACATTGTGCATGCAATGTTAAATCACCTAGACTAGTGGCTAAATTTTAACTTTGTCAATAGGATTCGATCTGCACTAAAAAGGACCTGACACACATGACATTGACCACTACTCAGTGGTCAGTCATTTGTAAAATCATCTAACTTCTATTGACACTGAACATCCAAACTTCTTTTAATTTAATTTCTCACCATCCGAATGTAGCCGGATTACGTAATATTCAATCTAAATCAGTTACTGTATTTATATAAATCACAAAGGTCACTTTGTATTCTAAGTACTATGACAATTTACTAACAGTTAGAAACACGAGGAATAAATATTTCCTATTAGCATTAAACACCTTTTATAATTATCATAGTCTCTGACCTAATTGAAATTATTGCATTGCCATTCTGTTTTATTTCTTTAACGTTAAAACTATGATATTGATTTTAGAGAAATATTACATCACATGGTTGTTTTTAACATTATTACAGTGTATATAGTAAGTAGGAAACTGATAAAAAATTCATTATTGAGCGAAGAGTAAAAGATCTAAAGTAGATAATTTCCCATACAGATAAAGATATACCGTGTAAAACTTGAGCACTTGAATGCTAGAACCTTCCAAGTCACAAATGAGAAGACAGAAGACAAGTGAAAGGAATGCTATACCAAACAGTGTAAAATATGGTACAAAACTCTTAGGTAAATCACCATTATGGTCATCCAATCTATATACAGAGGGGTCTCAGCATTTATCCAATAGGGAAGCTACATGTAAAGATTTTGAAATATTGTGTGGTGTGAGCTACTTATATTCATATAAGTAGTATATTACGTGCGTTAAATAAACGTAAGGTCCGGCAGCAGAAGATGGCGAAGATCAAGAAAGGAAGAGCAAGAGCACAATGGAATTGTAAGAAAACACATGTACGATGGAATGGGAGACAATGGATTAGTGTTTGCAACGGGAACAGTACAGTTTGATATGATGGAATGATATTTTGCAAATTGACGATTGACTTTATGGTATTCACATTTTATTGAGATAGTCTGTAATTTTTGTGCTAAATACAATCGATTTTCCCCACCCGTGTTCTTGTTCACTACAATTGTTCTAAAAGATGATTGAATGGAATATCTTCGGCTCTTTCTGAGCTTCTTTGAGTTCACCCACTGACCGCCCTGACAAATAATTTGCTCAAATTCTTTAGAAATTTCCTCTCTGAGTTATGACTTTTAACCTTTCTCAAATTCATGAATTTTTTTGACTAATCAGTTGATAGAGTAAATAGATAATACTCTAGTGAACGAAAACACAAGTAAGGATGATCGAATGTATTTGAACGCAACATTACAGAACATCTTAGTAAAATCTGAAAACCATATAATAAATTCTTCATTTACAAAATGTCCATTAATTATCCCAAACTTGGTCGGTCCTGCATTTCCACACCAATCATTCACTGTTCTTGTTCTTTTTTCTTCGAATTTCTTATCCATCCACTGCTAGATATTCCAATTTTGATTGTTGACACGTACTACTTATATATCTATCGACATCAGTAGCACACACCATAGTACTTAAGTGACATTTATTAAGACTTTCACATAGAAAAATATCATTATCTTAACGTCTTTGATAACCCTTCTGAAATTGATGCTGTCAACCAATGTAGATTGTTTCATACTATAAAGCTTAATCGATATAGAAAAAAGCGTATAGTTTCCAATGAAACACATATCTTAATACTTGACGAGTGAATTGATCATTCATAAAGAAAAATTTGGGAAAAACGATAGATACAATTAGGAATGAAGTAAGAGAATGCGAGTAAATTATATCTCTATTTGTATATTGTTAACAATTAGGTTTCATCCATATGTATAGTTATGTCTCATGTAGCTGAGGAATATCCAAAGGCGTAAATAGTTCAGTGAATAGGAAAAATTAAGATTTTGGAAAAGAAAATACGAATCTTTATATACATTTCTGGTCATCATAAAAAAGTTGACTGAATGGTTTGTACTGATTGGTTTAACAAGAGTTAGGTTAACTTTGTAAAATGAAGGTTTTAGGGTTAGTACTCATGAGTAGTCAGTTCAGTGAAGCTTCAAAGTAGAAATCACCTGACTATTGCTTAATTGTTTTGAAAAGTTTCTAAACTAGTGTCATGTCAGTTATTTAATCCACGTAATCCTTGATACATACATAAAAGTATTCGTCCATAAATACTTTCACTAAGATCTAATACATTACGTAAGTTTAGTTGAAATAAGGATTAGTTAGTGAGATGAAAATCGCAGACTAAATAACTTTTATTCTATTCAAAAAATGATCATAAAAAGAGGATACTAATAGAACAAGTGTCTTAACGACTGATTTTACGAAGAGTAAGAAACTGGTAGAGAGGGTAGCATATTTTTTAAAAAACGCCTCTGGCTAAACTCCAAATACATTAGTATTTAAACGAAGTGAGACAAGTATTCAGCAATCGAAAGAATTACCTCTTTCAAAAACTAGTTGTAATATCATGCAGACTTAATCCTGTAACTTGCACCACCTTCGACTATCACTTCATGTAAATAGGTTTATGAACCTACTTCTTTCTATTCTATTTATTACCAAACCAACATTACGTTTTGCTCAGCGATAACAGCAAAATAATTTAGATGTAAACCATGTTAAAAATTATGATTGATAGTGGGTAGCAGTGGAATCCAAGACGCGCGTTTCGTCCTGTTTGGGACTCGTCAGCTATGTAGTGAATTTAAATTCACCCCATTGCACAAGCAAGTGGATATCAGAACTCGGTAGTTGAATGCATAACGCGATGGCGTTTGAAACGGACAGCACTGGGTTCGAGTCCCAGAGTGAACATCAACCCTGAGATGCAGGTACATCCAGCTGACGAGTCCCAAATAGGACGAGGTGGAGCGCGTCCTGGATTCCACTGCTAGCCACTATCCATCATTGCTTACAAAAAGCTTGTGAATTAAGGCAATATCGAGGCATACGTACAGTATGCAAATATGCCAATAACAGACTGCTCAATTGCAGTCTCAAACTTCAATGGGGAGATACAAGCCAAACAATACCAAGTGCATTTTAAAAATAGTTACCAGTAGAGAAGTATTTCATTGAAATCACCAACTGTAAACCACCTTAGTCAAAGGGAATTTTTTCATTTTTAGACATAGTCAATCAAATAAATTCTTATAGTTTGTTACTGAATTTGAACGTAGGGTGCTATGCAAAGATGACAAATCGATTGAGTTCTCTTTAATTGAATAGTCGAGATATGTAGTACATATGCCCAACAGTCTCCGTATCGTATTAACACATGAAATCATTAACAGTTGATATGAGTTATTTTGGTTGGTTCGAACTAATTGGTTTAAGTTAACGTGATTATAGTGATCAATAGTTGAACAGGCTAGGTGATATGGCTCAGAATTGTTGAGTCGGCTTTCGGAGAACTTCAACGGAGCCTCCAGAGGCCCAAAAGGAACCGAAGAGTCCTAGCCAATCAGAGCATGATGGAGCATTGGTCAGTAGCATAATATATCGTTAACGGATTGGCCGAGATATGATGTTGATTTAAAAACGTTAACATCTATAAATGCCCATGTTTTCTGTACAAAAACGAACCTTGGAGTAAAGCGTCTCTCTCATACTTTGCGTCTTCTTTTTGGTGTTCAGGTGGCTGTATAGTTCTAGCGTGAGGATTATCAGAATAGCTTAGGAACGAATATAGCGTCCAATCGACAAGACCTAACAAGAATTGATAGCAATGAAGTTGATGGATTCATTCCTTGTCTTTCAGTAAATTTTCTATATTAAAATTACCTTACACTTTTTATTCAATTTCTTCTTCTTAAATCATAAATTCTATGCCTAATAGTCTTTTTACCATCACTGATACTGTTACTAAATTCACTACTCTAAGACATGTCTTGATAATCTCATCTCTCCATAAGCGATAAGGACATGAATCCATTTGATTCAAAAGAGCGTTTGCTAATGACCAGTTTATTAAAATGTATCCAACTTTTTTTCCAAGTGTTCACCAGAAACAATCATGCGCTAAAGTCTGAAATTCGTGGAAGTGGGAAAATCTTCTTGAATCATATGCAAGTAAAACTGTAGATTATTGCCCTAGTTTCAAATTGAACTTAGCTGATCTGATAATTAAAACAAAAATTTCCTTCACTAGATATATAGGACAAAAGTCTTCTCCATCATGAAAAGTTCAACTTAGAACAATCTGTCTGTATTATCATTTGATGGAGTTTTATTCTCTGAACTAGATGGTTTGATCGTAGGGCTTTCATCATTCTTCTGAACGACATCCTCTGCAGTACAAACTTCATAATTCTAAATAATTGATTTTCAATTTCATTCTACTATTGTTTGATTGTGTACTTCGATTTCTTATTAATTCATGAACATTCTTATTGATTTGTAATTTTTATATTAAAATGATCATTGAAATTTGACATTGTCCATGTGTGTGTTTGTGTGTGAATAGGGCAAACATTCTACTCACATGATTCTTATAATTTCTATTTGGTTTGTTTCAATTCTATTATTCAATGAGTTGTAACCAAGTTGGACTGTTATTGTTTTTTTCTTCCCTTTTTTCTTTTTGGAAAAAGTTCATTTAAACATTAACGGAAAGGCCAAATCAAACACATAGGAATGAATAGCTTTAAATCAGTAGTTGATTTTATATTGTAGTGTGTACTATAGATGTCAATAGATATATAAGTAGTATGTATCATCCATCGAAAGTGAAATACCCGACAGCAGAAGGTTAAGAAGATCACAGAAAAGAGAACGAGAACAGAGAATGATTGATGTGGAAACGAAAAAACAATGTACTTTGAGACAATTGATGGATATTTTTGCAAATGATGTATTTACTGTATGGTTCTTAGATTTTACTAAGAGATTCTGTAAGATTGTATTCAAATACATTCAATTATGTCCACTTGTGTTTTTGTTTACTACAATATTACGTCAAAAAAAAATTCACGAATAAAATAAAATTCAACTTTGAGTTGGTTGCAAAGATTAGTTGAATTTCAAGATATCTACTCATCAAAAACTTACTTTAACGAATGGTTGACTGAACAATGAACAACTGTATTGAAATAGTTTAACATTCTTCAACAATCTATCCATCCAATTATATCTTGGGATTAAGCCGACGATCTTCAGATTTCGGCGACAAGATTATCTTTAAATCACTCAGTTACAAAACAGTGGTTCATAAATCCCAACACTAGTAAATTCATGATATAGAAGTTGACCACACTTCACTTTAAGGTCGAGAATTTGTTATTAAAACAGATATTTAAAAAAAACATCAATATGAGGACTTACTGCAGAAGCAATGATGCAAAGACTGGATACCTCCATCTTAAACTCTTCTCATTTTCGACTGAACGAATATCAGTTAGCTGTCAAACGCCATGATATATCCTCACTTATATCAATGCATGTGGACACATATGTGATTCAGAAAATGTTGAGATCTTAGATAGATTGAATTCTAAAAATACAAGATAATTTGCAGAAGCTTGGCACTCTCAGGTCAATCGGCAATCAACAAACACATTGAAATTGATCCAACTTGTCAACCAATCAGCAGAGTTATAGACAAATATGGGACCAAGAATCAAACCAATGGGAGATACGATCAAAATAAAGAACGATAGGTTAAAGACCAACAACAACCAATCACGGCCTAGGTCGTCAGGATAATTTGTGAGTCATATATGGAGAAATTGGAGCACTTCACTTCTACCTGAAGTTTATACTGATGATTGCAATTAGAAGAACGATGGAAGTTCCGTGATCAAACCATCCAGCTCAGAGAACAAAACTCTACCAAAATCATCCACCTGAGCTACAAATTTCCACCATTTCATAAGTTTAAAATTTCCCATATTCACTAATTTATTGTTACATCTTTAGTCTTGAAAAGTCTCAGCAACCCCAACGCTGATGATACGGCTTTTGGTTAAGAATCATAAATACAGGAATCAAACTGAAGATATATGTGAACATGTATATATACGCACTCCTTCCATTATTTTTAATAGAATTCAGAGATATGCATCTTTCTATCCTTTCATTGTACTCGATCTTGAAAAAAAGAATTAAAATAAAATTCTTTTCAGCAAATTTACTTCTAGCAGATAGTGTAGCTTTTCTAGGATTACTACCGGTCCCAAGCCCGGGTAAGTGAAGGAGGTTGGGCATGGGGTCATCAACCTCATCCCGTCGAAAACAACATTGCTTAAAAAACACTAACCAGATGGTGTTGCATTCATTAGACTAACAAAATAGAAGGTGGATGTGAGTGTAAAGGTAAGAAAGCTTCTGTGAACAGACAATCATTAACAAACCTCTCAGAGTAGACTGATTATGGGAAAATCAAACATTCACTCACATTTAAAATAAGCTCAAATGATATCGCTGGGAATGTTGATGGACGGGTCGCAGCTAAATGATTCAGTTCAAAGACAGCATTCAAATTAAAACCATAAGTCAAACATACCTTTTGTTTACAACTTTAAATAACGCTAGCAGGTCCTATCATTTCTTTTAGATAATCCAATAAATAATATGCTCCGCAATCGATACAACATTAAGATGGACATTATTACAATGATTAGATGAAATTTTCAATATGTGTTGAACCGAAGGGAATTTCGGTGTATTCACTTTTGAACTTTGTGACAAACACATAAGTAAGATGAAATCAAATGTTGGAGAGATCCAGAAAATTCCTCAAAAAAGGCCAAGAAAGGCTCTGAGAACACTGAAAAGCATGTTATCCAATTGTGATCACTAGACGTTTGACCAAAAACATCAAGAAAGTGGAAAGTCACATATAGAGTTTCTGATTGGATGATTACTTGCATTGCTAATATGTTTAGTAGCATTCTAGAATTTTCAAGAAACCCAAGGACATCTAAAATACTATAAAAATCCTATATTTTCTGCACATAAAAGAACCTTTGGGGTTAAGTGTTTCTTACATATTTCGCGCCTTTCCTCTCGTGTCCAAGTCTCTGTGTCGATTTAACTTGAGGGTTACTAGAAGACTTCAGGAAACGAATCCAACATTCGATTAGCAAGACTTATCAATAAATAAGTGTATGTTTAGAAGTTTCACGTCAATGTATGTCATTGTCCAATATTTTATTTTTTCAGTAATTATTCAAATTGTTTATTGTTACAAATATTTACCACTTTGGATTTATAGCATGGACACATCGAAAAGTTTGTAAAAAACAATACCTTTTGAATAGAGTTACGTTTATATTTTCTTAGATTTGATCTTCAAGATTGAAGCATCTATATTAATTTTTTACGTTAGTGTATGTTAATTTAACCCTTGAAATAAAAGGTGTAAAGTTCCAGTATCCCTAGTGTTATAATTTGTGTGCCCTGTATATTGGATAACGCAACGATACCGCAAATCAGAGGGCAGAGAAATTATCGACCGAACAAGTGACGCATAAAACACATGTGAACAGCCTAGAGTCCTGATTGGCCCTGCTCTCTGTCTAGCCCAGCCAGTTAAGTCCAGAACACCAATCTTAGCCTCTGCAATATGAATCATGTATTTCAAATATACTGGGTTCATATAGAAACCATACAGACCACATCGTACCATAAAATAGAAAACAACATTTGCACGAGTTTTAGCCAAATGTGGCTGTGAATGAGGGAGGTAGTAATTAACAGACGGGGTATAACTCCAGAATGGTAAAACGTATAATAATAGTCCACAGGTCAAAATAAAGCTTATAATAAGAGCGACATGAATATGAACAGTTTAGTTAATTAACAATTATACGATAATAATATACGTATAGTATTGGTTCATAAATGGATCCCAACAGTTACCATTCATTATTCTTATCGAGATATAACACCTAGGATTCAATTTAGTCCAGTTGATAAGGCTTGAGAATAGAAAAATATGGGAAATTTGAAATCCAATGTTGCTACAATCAAAAAGTAATAATAATAATCCGGTTTACTAAATTCTGATTGGTTTAGAAATAATATAACCTCAAGATTAATAATATGTTTATAAATAACAAGTAACATATAACCTGCAAATGTGAAGGCACGGACCGGGAAAACAACAGCAGCATATTTACAACTGAAGAACATCTGGAACTCAAAAGAACTGTCTGTCGAACAACACCAAATTCAGAATTTTCATTAAAAATGTCAAGACAGTTCTACTGTATGGGGCGGAATCCTGGAGAATTACGAAAGCCATCATCCAGAAGATACAGGTGTTTATTAACAATTGTTTACGCAAAATACTTTAGGTCCGTTGGCCAGAAACTTAAAGCAACAACCTACTGTGGGAGAGAACAAAGCAGATCCCAGCGGAGGAAGAAGCGCTGGAAGTGGATAGGACACACATTGAGGAAAGCACCCAACTACGACACAATGCAAGCCCTCACATGGAATCCTAAGGGCCAAAGGAAAAGAAGAAGACCAAAGAACACATTACGCCGGGAAATGGAGATAGACATGAGAAAAATGAACATGATTTGGATGGAACTAGAAAAAAAAGGTCCAGGACAGAGTGGATTGGAGAATACTAATCGGTGGCCTATGCTCCATTAGGAGTAACAGGCGTAAGTAAGTAAGCATATAACTTACCTTAAGAATTACCTTCATACAATATTTGAGTACTTTAAACTGTATATTAAATTAATCCGGTCATAGAAAATATAATTACTCATGTGATTTACATACCTGAAATAATTTTTAGTGTTTTAGATATTACATAATCATTAAATATCAGAATATACTAAAGATACATGGATAAATGAATTATTATTCTTAAGACATGTTAGCTTATTTATATTAACACATAAACATTGGTATAAGGAGGCACCAAATACATATGCACCACATTAATCATTCGATCTATGTGAGGGATGGGATATTGCCTGGGTGCCCAAACTGAAACGGGTGGTTTTCTTAGGAGCTACACCTGGAGCCTTCGACCTGAACGTCTGATCCACAGGGCAGTAGAGCAACATTAGGAAATGCAGTCCCATGGTAGCCGGTGACCAATAATTGGTCCATACGCCAATTGTTCCCTCAGCGTCCTGGAGTTCATGTGCACCATCGGCTTGGACTGAGGGTTTTCCCACTACCCTAGGTGAACTCTCCATGTCCACCAACCCGGTTGAAGAGCCGGACATTCGCTTTTCGTCCTTTCAATTTCATCAACAACACCCATGTAGTGAGTAGGACATCCCTGGTAGTGGTTGTATGCACGTGGCCATGCGAAAGCATTTCGAGAGGGAGATCGTACTCTCCCCATTCTCGGCCGTACCAGGATATTCGGAGGCGACATATTCAGTGATATATGATGGAATCATTCACTTGTGTGAAAGTTTATTCCCAAAATAGTATTTCATACAATTTACATAGAAACAATGATCAGATGAAGTACAAAATGATTGCGATATGTCTCTTTAATTATTTTGTTTGATTAACGAATATTACAAACGAATTTGTTGAGTCAAAACTAAAGTAAATAATTCCTTTGATTGATGATATTCACTTCATATTTAGTTGTATATTGCACCATTCAGTTTTTATGATTTCTGAAAGATTAATATTATAATTAAGTGGTAATACAAATTTTATTAAAGGTTAGTTTGGTTGTAAAGCGGCTGGAAATCTAATTTCGAAGGTATTCACTAAATTTTTTTATTATTTCAGCTTAATTTTATTTCTTACTGAGAATACTAAACAACAAGATATTAATTCATCTAATTACAAATGTCAGTCCACTTTGAAAGTGGATGGAAATGCTACAATCGATGTCAGATTGATAAACTATAATTAATATATTGAATCGATGAGACTCTAATTGATGGACGACCTTTAAGTCACTCTAAAGTGAACTTGAAAGTGTCTACCTACTTACTAAAGCTAAATGAGGGTTATAAAAAAGTCTGAAGAATAAGGAATTCCATTTACACTTGATGGTTAAGGTTCGAAATTAGATTTATGGTTTTCATCACGAACGGACATCAGCTATAATGCCAAAATTCTATTTAGCCAAATAGGTGAATAAATTTCGTGCCAAAATCGAAAACCTGTTATCGTAAATCTGATTGGTTCATCCATAAATTACACTCTTACCTATGGAATCAGATTAACTTAATAGTTCAGAGGAATGTGTCCTATGTAAATGTTAACCATTGAAATTTAATTCGAATGGATTGGTGTACATTCAGTCAAACTATTATAGTAATGACATTTTATCAGTTGACAATTGAACAATCGAATATAGGAATGAAAATCTGAAAAAATAATCAATGATTCTTCATACTTAATGGTGAAGTGACATAAATAATTGATCCATTTCAATTAAATATCTAAAAGTATTTTTCTTTATTTTACTGATCATCAATGTTTTCCAACAAAAATTAAATGAGCAATTGGTGATCTTATAGACTTATATTGTTTTCATTTTAATATTTTAAACTAATTCAGCAACTTTTACTCCAAATCATAACTTCATTGAGGTAGCAATGTACGAGTTGTGGAGATTATTAAGTTTTTGATTGAGATCATGAAGCGATTGATGTTAGACCACCATTGAAAACCTGGAAGCACTAGATGGACGTTTCGTCCTATTGTGGAACTCCTCAGCAGTGTGCATCCATGATCTCTCCTCGTGAGATTCGAACGCAAGGTCTTCAGTCCCGCACGCGAACTCTTAATCTCTAGACCGCTGAGCCGGCCATCATCCAACGGTGTTAATGTCTAAGCTCAACCAATCCACGAAATCGCGCAATCATCTTCCATTTTAATGAGGTAGATATCTATCTCTACCGGACACGGATATTCTTAATACCCAACAACGGAAGATTGTCAATAGATTCAATTTATTGACAAAAAATGTTTGTTTTTGTGGATCTAACAACTAAGCTTCACATATGAAACGATAACTATTGGACAAACTTACCCAGAATGTTAGTATGAAAGTATTCATAAGCTAACCAAAGGAACATTATTGAATCCAAACTTCTGTCATCGTTCTTAGTCAGTGGTCTTGAGTGCTGTTAGAATTATGAGGGCAGTTATCACTTCCCGGTTGCCCACAGTGTGAAAGAGTTCTTCTGGAGGTACCTGAAAAGGAAATTGGATTAGAGATGGTCTTAGTGACCTGAGAGCGTGACCGCAGTGCCCAGGGGACAACTGCTTGAGCTCGGTCACGAACGACCTTTTTATGAGTAATTTTCGTGTTATCTCCGTACTTGTTGAGACCTTACCGCCGGAGACGGACACTTGTGGGATAAGGTGAGATGTGCATTTTTAGGGTCAATGTTTTCCAACCCCGCCCTTCCTTTGTGAGAAGGCAGCATCGCTGTTATGCTGGTTGTCTGAAGGGAACACCTTACTGTCGTCACAACTCCGTACAGTCAGCAGTACGACTTCGCCTTCGGTTTGCTGCTTTTAGTCTTACCGCTCTTCAACCGACCTGTCTGGCATGGTAGGACCTTGAAGAACGACTGTTTTAGCCAGTATAGGTCGACTGATTCATCACTATAGGCAAGCCCGACTACCACGTCTAGGTGACAACAACGGTCGGGATCATCAATCTACGTTATCATCTATGTAGATCACGGCACAAAAATGTGACAAAACTAAAGTTTTAAATCATGATAGCTCAAAAAAATAAAATGACAATGAGAAAGACTAAGGATTCAGAATATTGTTAAAAGAGGTGAAGTGGATGATAAGTATGTATGAATGAATACTCTAACTCAACATTTAGAGGAAGTTAAAAAAGTTAATGTAACTACGATAAGTGACGTAGACATGAATAATTAATCCAAAGAATAAAACTCAAGTCAGATCAACAAAATTTATTGCACAATATACATATGCATTGTATTATCATGATCATTAGCAGTAGTAGTATTAATATAAATAAAAGCGTATTTCAATAAAGCGGATAATACATAGGATTTATGAGTTTTCACAATGCAACAGATACACACACACACACACACAAAACAATCTACCATAACCAGCACACAGAAACGGAACCGTTCACACATAATAATCAAATTATCTAGAAATAAATAATAGTTTCATTGAAGGCACATGATAAACATTTTTATTAAAATAAATCAATATATATATATATATATATATATATATATATATATATATATTGCATATTAAGATCTATTATATTATATCATAATATAAGAGAATGATAATATAAATAACTTAATGAAGAGATCATCTCATAGAAACAAAGAAAAGAAAAGAGAACAAAAAGACAATTGACTATCATTGAAAGACATCATCAATTAAAATACTGGTTGTACACAAAGTAAACAAAAACGTACAAATAAACGATAACATAAAAATATGTACTCTTCTTCTTCTTCTTTTACTTGTTGTCGTTCATCACCCGCTTCAATGTCATTTTTTTTGGCGAAAAGAAAAAAACAAACACATCCATGAAGAATTGTTTATAGACTAATGTACTTACTCTTCAACACTTCAGTACAAATTTATGTAACATAATCTTTTAAAAGCAAAAACAACAAAGTCATCTGTAAAAACAAATTAAATTAGTCTATTGCTCTAGCAAGAGGTAGTAAATATTAGAAATAGAATATTTCAATAAACAGGTTTGAATTCTATATGCGAATCATATAGACATGAAAACAAACAAACAAACAAACGAAAAATGATAAACAGTTTTGTAGTACTACTTATATTGAATGATCATTAAATTTGTGTGTATATCACTATCATTATTCTTTAATACAATGGAATTATGATGTAACATTGACAATATAGATAATTTCATCAAAATATAAACTGTCGATCATCTTATTTACTGATCAACAACAATATTGATTTCTAATATGAACTTGTTTCAAACAAGATCAATCCACCATTAGAATGAATTGAATTTAAAGCACATGTTGAACAAGTCGAAAGTATATCATGAAAAGAGTGTGAATAGATAGGAAAACCATAAAAAATATCTTCTAAACTATTGAATAATACATACAAATTATTCTGGATCACCAGTATCATTTTCTATTTGTTGTGTAAATTGACTACGAAGTTTAGCAATTTTTGATTTGGGCAATGAACCATGTGAACGAAACATTGACTAAATATCAACAAAAAAAACAAAAGAAAAAAGAAAAAGAGGACTCGTTCTGATCTAAACATGGTTCACATTATCTGGAATAAATATTCATTATTGATCTGATCAGAATTTTTAAAAATAAGATTGAAATCAAGTGTTAATAATTGCTAATCTTGAATAACTTATTCATATAGAATGACATAAAATGATATATGATTCTAATATTTCAATAGTTGACATCATTGAGTCAATTGAAGCTAAACGATTATGGAAAACCTGGAAGTACTGAATGGCCATTTCGTCCGATTCTTATAATATAAATGTTAGTTAAGATAGATTCATAGATTAAACACTAATAAAAAAACAAACAGAACAGACTACTAAAGTTATTCAAATAATTCTAGTGAGAGGCTTTGACCAGTGGAGCTAATTCATGTTGGATAGAGACAGATATCTACCTCAGTAGAATGGAAGATCGTCACGCATTTTCGTAGATTGGTTGAGGCTAGACATTAACACAGTTGGATGTCAGCTGGCTCAGGGGTCTACAGATTAGGCGTTCGCATGCGAAACTGATAGGTCCTGAGTACGAATCTCACGAGGAGAGATCATGGATGTACATTGCTTAGGAATCCCATACTAGAATGAAACGGCCATTTAGTGCTTTCCAGTTCTCCATGGTGATCTAGCTTTAATTGACTCATGAATTCAATTATTATATCGGTACACTTTTCTTTCTTATTAACACTTAATATGTTAGGAAATAAATGGTCAATCTATACATGGAATAGATTTCTATTATGTCTTTATAAACATTATGTTAATTATAATGAATAGGATTTGCCAAACGAGTTTTCCCTAAGTTAAATAATCTATGGAATCTTTAAAATAATGTGTCCCTGGATCTTTATAACTCTTAATGTGGAAGGTAAGTAGTATATAAAACTCCACGTGTTAACACGTCTATAAATGATTAATTCAGAGATTCAACTTTCAACTATACGATGTATTGAGTTATGATATCAATGTTGTATATTGAATATCGAAAACAAAAAGATGGATTAATTATGCAGCAGTTTACTTTCTACTTAATCAACTAGTGAATATCAATTAAAGCAGACGAGTTGATTGATGAAGCTATAAATCACTGAGTGATTGAATTTGAATTGGTATTACGCAAACATAATTATAGTTTATCTCCATAGGTAAAGCTAGCTAGGCGAAAATGAGTTAAACAAATTTAGTAGATGACGAAATCAAGATGTGTTATCAGAACAAAACGTTAGTAACCATCCGTTTCAGCTAAGTAGAGGAGTTTTGGTCTTCTTGATTATATCATTGTAATACTCAATATCAATAATTATGAAAGTTGGGTGACATGGAGGATAGTCAATATCAGTGGCGCAGTTCAATTCATTGTCTAAACTACTCTGAACATTGTCTCACAAATTTCACACTTTCATCGCATTTTTCTAGACGAATTTTTATATGGTAAATCGACAAGATACGGAGGATACTGAAGAATCCACAGAAGAAGGAAGGGAGAATTTGGGAGAGCGCAGTAGCAGATTTAGCCGGTTGAGGTACAGAGGGGCAAGGATTAGGTTAGGTAATAGAATAGTACCACCAATAATACTGCTTTTTCCGATTTCGGGGAAATCAGGAGAATGGAATACCAAATAAACAATGCTGAAGCGCTTGAGGACAGAGATTATTTAGTGGCGAAGTTATGTGACGATTTTTGATTAATGACCACGAAACAAACCCATTATGAAAGAAACCGATTTGCGATCAATATTCTGCGTATTTTACAATCATGTCTTCAGATTTGTACGAAAATACGTTAATATGTAACTGAATAGTATAGAAATTAAGAAGAAAAGAAACAGTTAAGGAAGACGTGAACCAGTTGTTGACATAGTAAAACATCAACTGAGTTGTGATTAAAACAAAACTCCTAATTAATCAATGAAATTATTTGTAGGTGATATAATCAACATCTGTCTGTAAATTGTTTGGGAATTTGTCTCTTAAAACCAACGCATGAAAGAGTTGCTCTACAAAATTGTTTTCCTTTTAATTTTCGTACTACCGCCGCTATAACAATAAATATGAGGTAGTTTTCTGTTCATAATAATAAGGATGAATAACAACTGGAAAGGATTGCCCAGGGTTGGATGGAGAATGCTGGTGAGCCACCTATGCTCCTTCACGAGGAGTAACAGGCGTAAGTAAGTTGATGTTAACCACTTTTGAAGTAAGAAGAAAGCAACTGAAAAGTCGAAAGAGTTTATTCTTATAATCGTCTATTTAAACTTTAACACAACTGTTTTCATACATGTGGACGCATGTAGACAACGTCAGCTTTATCATAATCATAAACTGTTTATCGAAATTATATACTGGAGGCATATGGTGACAAGTTCATGCGGAAACTATGGGGAATTAATTATATTACATGAATGATTATGTTGATGTATAGGATGACCACTATGTAATGTTCATCAACAGATTATTAAACCTGGAATGTTAATTTAGTGATACTCCTTGTGATCTGTTAGAAATAGTCGAAACGTTAGTGTATCTTAGTAATTTGGTTGTGGCCTCACTGATGGGATCAATCTACGTATAGTAAAAACCAGAGTAGCTTATCCCAATCTGGACTATATTTGGCACCGTCCACGATGTTAGTCTAACTGTAAAATGTAGGGTCTACAACGCTTTGGTGAGGGCGATTCCACTCTAATATGAAGAAATTTGGCCTCTCAGGGTCTCTGTGTGTTTGAAAAATGTTGTCGCCAAACGATTGCTGACATCCATTGGCAACACTGCATTAGTAAAACTGACGTTTGGCAATATGTGTCTAGGATCATTGATGATGGCTATCACCACACTAAAACATTGACTTTGATGGCTTGGACGTGGGTTGCGAATGTCATTTCAGCTAATTCTATATTGCAAGAGGTTGAAAAAGTGGAGATGTGGTCAGTTTATGTTATGATATCGTGGCATGAAAGAAGGCTGTACAGGACTGCCTAATTTGAGTTCTAGAGATGCTGGAACTCAGTGGATCAACAAGTTATTAAACAGTGCTTAGAATAAGAATAAATGGCGATTTGGTTGTAATGCTCCTCAGTATCATTGACAAAACATTAAGGAACTAGCCTTACTGAAAATAAATTTGTTTTTATTTTAACTGAACTGCTCTTATTAATATGATTCTTTTCCCACTATTTTTATTCATTTATCTGTTCTTGGTGATACTCCTTCTTCTATTCCTTCATGATTCTTTTATTTTTAATTTGTGTGGTGCATATTTCTTTTAGTGCCCAGTTTTATCAAATTTTGTATGTACTAAATAAATAATAAACAAACTTATTGATTAAAACTACTCAACTATTAAATATTACGTTGTCAGTTCGAACTCAACTCCACTAACTACAGTTGCGGAAACCCTACTACTTAAAGTATAACTTTAAGTTATGTACTCGGCAAATGACTTAGAGTAGGAAATCACAATCTAATGTTTCAAATATGTAGATTCTAGCCTACAAACACCCATCATTCCCTACTGGACAAGAATTTAAATTGTGTTAAGAATCATTTGAGAAATCAACTGATCAACAGTATGATCGATGAAAATCACAGTCGTTCTTCTAAAAAAATTATTTATTTATTTGAACATATATCGGTACAAAGGGGTACCGAATACATATGCGCCACACAAGTCAGTTGATTTGTGTGTGGTGCCCAGACCGAAGCAGGTAGTTTTCTTAGGAAGCCACGCCTGAAACCTTCGATTTGAAGGTGTAATCCAAAAGACAGTGGAACAACGTTAGAGGATGCACTCCCATGGCAGCCGGTGAACAACAATAGGTTCATACGCCATTTGTTTCCTTGAGATCCTGAAGCCCATGAGCACCATTGGTTTGGAATCAGGGTATTCCAACTCCCCTAGGTGTGCCCTCCATATCCACCAACCTGGTTGAAGAGTCGGACATTCGCTTCTCATCCTCTCAATTTCATAAAACACGATATCATAGTAGCATGGCTGTTTAAAGGTTAAATAGTAAGTAATCGGTAATTTGTCAAATCTTAGCAAAATATATCCTCTTCTCTTTGTGATAAATTAAACCGACAAAATTTCTAATCTCGCTAGAAAGTTGATAAACAGAGATAAGTGAATATATACCCGACTATTAAGTAACCAATGATTAGAAAAGAATGTAGCGATCTCTTCATAAAAATCTGTTTACATCAATTGAATTGACATTCATTTTATTTATTATATATCATAGTCTTATTATATTGACTGTGTGTTTATCACAATGATGTAAACAATTCAATGAAACTTTCAGTGGCATATGATAAAATGAATCTGAACAATACAATAATTAGGTTGATGAATTATTGAATAATTCAATACAAATCAACAAGCTCATGTAGTCTAACTTTCAGTTATACATTTTGTATATTTTGAAGGGACTTAGTGATATTATCTTGTTATCTGAAACAATGTTACATGAATCAAGTTTTAAAGGTGAATTGACTGAGGCTTAGTGATTAAGTTATTTTGATTTCTAACCAGTAGATCGTAAGTTTAAATTAGAATCTATCTAGTATCGTCGGTCCTTAAACAAAGTATGAATCAAACCTTAGTACATAATTTTGTATGCGCTAGATGAATTAAAATAATTAAGAATTTGTAAAAGAATAATAAAAGATCCAAAGATGTTTATCAATAAGCTAATGATTCTATGATGTAGTTAATTTAGTGATGATTCACTGTTACTATGATTATTTTGACTACTGAGATTTATTTTATTAATTTTATCTTGTTGTCACAATACGATATGACATTTATACCAAGCTCTTGGTTAATGATGATTGACTGAAACGGTAGGGTAGATGTTATTCATGGGAAGATTTCACCAGTTATGGTTTAAACAGTTGGATTGTTACATTGACTTTTGGTTGTTTGTTACCAACGACTGTGCTGTCAGTATTTACAGATTTATCTTGATTATTTTTCTCACAATGACTTAACAACAATAAATCTTAGGAGTAGAAAAGTATTAATTCTTATAAAGACACATAACACCTTGATAAGTAATGCTGAGCAGAGACGATAATTCAATTGGTGTCAACATCTTGAAACATCGACTTCGGTGGCTTGGACACGTTCTACGAATGTCGTCCCAGAGAATTCCACGTCGTGCATTATTTGCCGACTCTGGGACTGGTTGGAAGAAGCGGAGAAGTGGTCAGTGTATGAAATGGTGTTGTGGCATGAAAGAAAGCTGCAAAGGACTGGCTTCTGTTGGTCCTTCAAGACTCCCTGGCTGGAGTCCTAGAGATGGTGCTACACAGTGGCTAGAGACATTATCAGATATGGCTCAGAATAGAAGCCAGTGGCGATCCTGCTGTAACTTTTACTTTCCTCATAAAAAGTGGTTGTAACTTCCCTAACTGAAGGGATTCTTTCTGGTTGTACCTTTCCGTTTCCCCCATTACTAACACTATTACTACACTTCTATACACTGATCTGTGGTCGTTATTGTTCTTCTTTTTTTTATACGCATCTCACCTTCTTTTTTCTCTTCCCATTCTCATTGCTTTCTGTGGGGCGTATAAATTTGATGCCCCCTTGTACCAACATTTATGTGTTCAAATAAATAACTAATTTATCTCTGATCTAAAATATCCCATAAACGACAATCGAGTGTCAGTATCATTTATCAGTTAATGTAAAATACAAAAAGTGAGTATTATTTAAAAATTGACACCATTTCTGAACTATATCTATTCACCAGTTTACTTACATAATAAAAATATCAAACAGAGTTAGTAAATACACCGACTATTCGAGACGATAAAACTATGACCTGAGAGATTTTTTTTACATTCTATACATGAAAAGTATATCTTGAATTGATATTACAGAAACATGAGTACTATGTGTCACAGTCGTAGAAAAACGGGCCCCCAAATGTCCTGGTACGACCGAGAGTGGGGAGAGTCCGTTCTCCATCTCGAAATGTTCTCACATGGCCATGCGTATATAACCTCTGTCAGAGAAGTTCTACTCGTTGCCTTCTCGTGGCAGGGATGTTGCTTACGAAATTGAGAGGATGAAAAGAAAATGTCTGGCACTTCAACCTGGTTGGTGGATATGCAGAGTCCACCTAGGGGAGTTGGAATACCCTGATTCCAAACCAATGGTGCACATGGGCTACAGGATTCTAAGTAAATAAATGGCATATGAACCTAATGTCGGTCACTGGCAAACATAGGACTGCATCTCGTTACGTTACTCCACTGCCTTGTGCATCAGACTCTAAGGTCAAAGGCTCCAGGCGTGGCCCCCTGAGAAAATCACCTGCTTCGGTTTGGGCACCTGGGCAGCATCAAATGAGATTTGTGTGGCGCATATGTATTTGGTGCCCCCTTGTACCAATATTTATGTGTTCAAATGAATAAATAAATAAATGGAGTTTAAAATCCAACGCAGTCTGTCGTCTAAACAGAATGAAGGATATAGATATAGTCATTTCACACCATAGAATAATATAACTGATTACACTAGAATAAAATCAGAAATATAGTTGTCAGATTTAAGTGATAGAAAATAGATTTGCATGACATTTTGAAAGTTTAAAAGCATTGGAAACAGATTAATAAAAGGCTGTAATATGTTTTACGACATTAAGGCAACCAATCATGTTGTGTTTTTAAAAAAAAAAGATTCGAACTAATAGATCTGCAAGCTGAAAACAACCTGGATAGATGCTTAAAAACCATAGCAGATTGATTAAATTCTGTTAGTGATTGACTGAAATGACCTGGAAACTTTTTTTTCACGTAAAATATTTGATTTTTAGACTAATTTGCATATATGTGTATACAGAATCAATATTACGAGCAAAATAATTGTATATTACAATGAACTATACTGAGCAGCAGTTCGCTCTGTTCTATTTTACGGCTGCGAAACATGGCCACTAAGAGTAGAAGACACTCGTAAGCTATTAGTATTTGATCACAGATGCCTTAGAAATATTGCTGGCATCTGCTGGGATCACCGGGTAAGTAATAGTTAGGTTTGACACAAGGTATTAAGGAATGATGACAAATCAGTCGATGAGGTTGTGAATCTTCATAGACTGAGATGGTTGGGACACGTGTTACGTATGCTTGAACACCGATTACCACGACATGCAATGCTGACTAGTGTTGCGCATAGTTGGAAGAAAGTTAGGGGCGGCCAAACCAAAACGTGGCATCAGTGCTTGAAGTCACTAACTTGTAGTCTGAGCCATGTTGGTAGATGCAGACTACTTGGTTGGGGTTCGCGTGACCATCATAACCAATGGTTAGACTCTGGGTGACACGACTCAAAATCGACCACAATGATGTAGGTGTGAACACGCTGTCTTCCTTTAAATTATAAGATTAAAATTATTTCATATCTTTCTAAGAACTAATTCTTTCTTTCTGTATTATATCCTTAAATGAAATCTTTCCTTTATATATTGCACTATTGAGTTAACTGCTTCTATGAATCCGGTGTTCATCTTGCTGTGCTAATGAGGTATGACAACTTGGACTGATGTCTGGTCCTACGTTGTAACTGACTGACGATGAACTAATGGAAAACAAGTGGCACTTATGTAATTGACAAAGTATCGTAGTTAATGTTGAAAATAGTCTAACCAAATGTTAATTTAATTTGAAAATGGTCTATGGAAATATTATAATTAAAGACATTTATACGTGTATTCTACGCAACATAATATCTGTGTTTATGAGGTCACTTAAGATGTCAGATTTTATAGATTCTTCAAGGTTTGCTTTCAACAACAATGAGGGAGTATCCAGAAAATAAATGTAAACAAACATTAACTTACTTCAATAAACTGGTGACAGTATAGTGTTTGTTTATCTTTGCACATGTTACGAAATGCTGTAATCAGGATAGGAAATTCATTGCATTGAATTAAATCTTTATAATGTAATCTGACCAATGATAGACATACACGAAAGAGTACTTTATCCCCTTCATAGAATAAACAGTCGAAAACACGAATTGTTGTCTATGGTGTATAAAGAATAGTAGAAACGAGAATAACTTTTTGGTATACCAAAGAAGATTAACTGAGTACTGAATTCAACATGAAGCAATGTTAAATATGGGTTTTATTAAGCATGTCTACACTCATCAGTAAGATGAGAATGTCTGAGGCATTTAAGGTCACGGAGGATCTAACGATTACATCCAAAAACCTAACATCAAATTAAATGAAGTCAATCAGCTTGGTCACCACATATCAAATTTGGTCCATAGAATTTAGTCAGTATCAAGTACATGGGATATTATTACCAAGTGATCGATCAGTATACTATAAAAGTGTCTTGATCAAGTTAGGTGAAGCAGAATAGAAATACCAGGCCATTAAGCTAATCACTTTACAACACATGTTTCCAAATCTGAATTGTTTCGATGAAGAAACTGGTAAACAGTACCGTTTTTACAATGCTACTTAGATTCACCTCTCTAGTTAACCGACAAGTATTAGCTGAATAGCTCAAAATGAAGTCATTAACATTAACATTTAAGGTTTGGAATAGTATTTAAACTGCTTATAATATCAGAGAAAGACATACTTTTTTGGAAATACGAGTTTTAATGGCATGTCAGATAGTCATCATCATTGAGCTAGAGATAGTTGCCATAATATATTAGCATGACGATGTAAAATTAACAGGATGAATATGATAGTGGATCGAAATAATGTAATACTAATGACAATGGGAAAAATTAAGAATATATTTCAAAAAGACTATATAAAGGTATGTGTAAAAGGAATACCAAAATATAAGATCAAGAGGACAAAGGGCAAAACGCATGTGCCATTTCCGACGATTCTGAGTCGTGCCTTTAGTCTCCAACAACTGACCGTGGTTATCACGCGAACCGCAACAAATCAACCAATTTACTACCTTTTTCTAGTATCCTATGCCTAACTTCAACACTGTTCACTCAGTTGTTCCAAAAAACGCAAGGATTGCTTTGAACAAACCCACGGTGTATGAGAGCGATGAAAGGCGTATACTTGTTGTGAAAATGCTGACTATGTAAGCCATTACCATCAATTAAGATATACAAGGGTTAACAACAAAATCAAGGAATCTTTATCAAGGACTAACAGTTAAAACCAGGAGCAACTGGACAGCCATTTTATTTTGTGGTCCAGGAGTCCTTAGTAATGAATACAGCTAATCAGTTGCAAACTACCGTCCAGTTATGTAGCTTATATCATAGACTGACGAACTTCATTCAGTAACCAAAGAAAACAAGAAAGCGATGGATAATTGTTTTGTCTTACTATGGGACTCCTCGGAAGTTAGCATTCATGATTCCACCAGGGTTCAAACGCAGAACCATTCGGTCTCATGAAGAGTGCTTAGCGTTGAAACCACTACGACGGTGCCCAATGGTTTACACAGGTTTAAACTCAGCTGTATACTTCGAATCGACAGTCTCCTCACGCAACTAAAGTGTGGCTCAAAACTAAGTATAGGAATCTGTATTTAGCATGTACGTCAGTAAATCAACCATTCAACAGGCCCAAGTTTAAGTGCTTGATTTTGAGCCACATTGTGCAAGGATTAGTAATATTACCCAGGCTACTGAAATAGAGTGACGCTTAAAAATCAGAGATTTCTTAATCGAAAAGCAAGTGTTTTAATAATTAATCCGCTAATCGGAAATCTGATTAAAAGAGTTAGAAAATCCTATTTCGAAATTTAAAAAAGGTTTATTCAGTGATCAATAAATTTAGATTGTTGTTTAGTTTGTACCAACTTGTATCGAAAGTCATACGAATTTCGAACGGTATTTTGAAGTGTAGCATGAGTTAATCCATAGATACATATATTGAACTAAACTTGAGCGTGACAATGATGGGAGAAATGAAATAAGGCAAAAACTGTACATTAAATGGTCGCTCATAAACATGAATACCACCCAAGGATATATATAATTCAAAAGGATATGTTAGAATGTTAGACACAGGCATAAGGATTAACGAAACTAGCTTTCTGTCAGTTTGACAGATCCGAATACAACTAATTTGTCGAGATTGTTCTTAGAGACTATTTCAGTTTATAGCTGATTTCCGTCACGAGCGAATTTCAGATTTTATTTAAATTTAAATTAACTCATTCTCTAGGTACTGGGGTATGAGCCACATCCTAAGTATGAGAGCTAATGATAATACCCAGCTGCCCAAACCGAAGTAGATGGAGTGGGCCTCGAACGTAAGACTTAGTGGCTGAAAGTCGAACGCTTTAACCACTAAGCCACCGCTCTACATGATCAAACAGAGGACAACTGGAAGCTAGGGATCGATGGGTAGATTTTTCATTTTCGTACCGGACTCGAGAATGATCATCAATGATCTAGCCAGAAATCGAGCCACTTGTCATGAGAACTGAAAACCTTAGGTTAGATCTTTGGTAATAACCACTGTTGAGGATCCTTTTTTATTTCAGCTTAATGAATCAGACAGTATTGCTAATTCTGATATAAAACAAGTTGAATACAAGAACCAGTAAATGATTTGTGAGTTGTAATTTTACTGTTGGGATATGTTTAAACTCAGAGTAAAACATATAGACCGGTTACTAAGTGAAAATCAGTGTTGTTTTGTTCAATTTCCAGTCTCCAATGGAGTTAAAGAACAAATAAGTTAATATAACTGCTAAACAACGTCTTAGTAGACTTTATTATTTGTTTTTGATTATCAGATATATAATGGATATGAACCTCTTGTTTACTGTGCTTCCCCCAAATGATAATGGACAATAAAGTATACCTGTGACCTTAAAAAAACACTAAAGTTGTACTTTGTCGAAATATATGCATCTAGTACACAATATCTATTTATTATTTAGAAAATAAACACTAAACGACTATAAACGTATATAGAATTTAGGTTCACATCTTCAAACACAATGATCAATGTAATTATACCTATTCACTTTGCTTTTTTCCCAAAAGGCTGAACAATAATATTTCTATAGAAATTTCAAATTATGCTTTCTATAATTCTTTCATGGTTCAATAAAAACACCTTACAAACTAAAAAGACGATGCTACTAATGAAACAGCATTTGATATAATGATGGTCGATAACATTTGATCTGCACTATGAAGGACCTAAAACATGACATTGATCACCACCCAGTGATCAATCAATTGTGAAAATCAAGAGAGGATGGCAGGTTCCAATCACTTTGAGATTTGATCAACAAAATTATTTGATAATCTGGGGATATTCAATTACTATTAGTTTCAATTGAAAAGTGATATACAATATAGGTAATATTTATATAATCATAAGTAGAATAAATAATCTTGTGAACAATAGACCAGAAAACATGTTTAATAACACTCAATGATAAATAAATATTACTACATTACCTCAATTGGCAATACATCAGCAAATAAGCATATAAACCATTTTGTTGCAAGTAATGTACAAGTGATACCTGAATTCATGATTATTTTATGAACTGTGGGAATTTTATCTCTACATAAAGAAAAGAATGTATACATAAAAGAAAGCTATAAAAAATTTATGATTAACCAATCATGTATTAATAGTAAATATAATGAGTTGTTTAACAATTGGAATCTAACATATACACATTACAGAGAACATAATAGCGCCCCCGAATGTCCTGGTACAGCCGAGAGTGAGGAGAGTCAACTCTCCCTATCGAAACGCTCTCACATGGCAATGTGCATACAAACACTGACAAGGAAGTCCTACTCAATGCCTTCTCGCGGCCACGCTATTGTTTACGAAATTGAAATGACGAAAAGTGAATGTCCGGCGCTTTAACCGGGTTGGTGGACACGGAGGATCTACCTAGGGGGCTTGGAAAACCCTCGTTCCAAACCAATGGTGCACATGGGCTCCTGGACCCTCAGGTAAAAAATGGCGTGTGAACCAATTGTTGTTCACCGGATACCATAGGACTGCATCTCCATACGTTGCTCTATTGTCTTGTGGATTAGACCTTTAGGTCTAGGGCTTCGGGTGTGGCCCCCTAAGAAAACCATCTGTCTCAGTGTGGGCACTCGGGCAATATCCCAGCCCTCGCACAAACAGAATGATCTATGTGGCGCATATCTATTTGGTGCCTCATTGCACCAATGTTTATGTGTTTAAATAAATAAATACAGAACATTTTAGCCAGTGACATGATATCAAAAGCAGTCATGATAATGGAATTCACAAATCTTTAGTCATAATAGTTAAGGTACTTAATACATATACTAAAACTATCCTGCCTAATGTAGCGAGCTAACTGAAGAGAGAGACAGTCTTAGATGAATTCATACAACAAAAGCCAAGCTTTCTTAGAATGGAGTAATGTTTACAGTATGGGGTCATTTCGAATGAATGCACTGAACTAAATAAATAATAACACATCAAACTAATGCAGATTTATAAATAGGGTTTTAGAGGACAATCTAAAAATGGGCAAGCTAATGAAACTACCTAACTTTTTTATACACTGTGGTTAGAGAAATTGAACTGGATCTTATTACTTCACGAATAACAAATCAAGGGCTTGGATTATTAAGTATTTTTTGTGTTACAGATTAAAGTAAATTGAAGTAGTAAACGGGAAAATGTATGAGTTGATCTATACCAATAATTGATACCACTGTTTACTGACTGATTTAAAACAATTATTAAGCGATTTCTTACTTCCCATTGGTTCTTACCATAACTACTGGTGTGACAAGCGAAATTGATCTTTGAATAATTAAAACCAATATATAACATATACTAGTCTATAATCGTTTTGGTAAATAAAGAAGGAACGAATTGAGCGAAGAAATTTCTTTTCAATTAGTTTTTCATCATGGCTCTACACTAATATATATACGTTTTACAATAATAATATAATACTCATCGAGTGGATACGTTACGTAATAATTACATAATGACCTTTAAATTAACATTCAGTAATTGGAAGAGAGAGGATTATTAATATTCAAAGTGATCAAGAAGTTGCTAAGTTGCGTAATGTAAGAAACAAAGAAGGAACAGAATTTTAACGGATGGTCAATAGGATGGTAGTTACGTAAGAATCAAGAGATGAATGTTGAGAAGTTATTAAGTTCAAAAACAACAGAAGTAAAATTACAAAAGTTTAAAAATAAAAAAAATAAAAAAATGGAAGAAGTATGAAACTGATGGCCAGGGCAGGAAAAGTGGTTGTACGAATCTCTTTTGTATGCAAAGGTCAGGTTTGTGAACATGGATTGCGATGGCTTCCGCAATGTGCAAGAGGCGCACTCGTAAACCATGTGGCAAATTAGATGGGATATTGTAGATAACCTTAAAAGCTTTATTCAATTCGACTTGATGACCTGTGTCAACCAAGTGAGAGAGAATAGAACTTTTAATCACTTTTACCTGTCCTTTGTTTAACCACGACGGATGATGTTCAGTAATGCGATGACGGACTTGCCGAATTGTACGCCCAATATAACTGGCTCCACAGGAGCAGTTGAAACGATAGATACACATAGATTTGGCGAATTCAGGCAGTCTGTCTTTGTTGGCTGTTCTTATCTTAGGATAGTTGTAGAAGATTGCATTTAATCTGGCAGCATTAAATGTTTTTTGTACGGCTCTTCTTAGTTTCTGAGTTAAGGTTTCTTCAATGGTGTCATTTATGAATTGTAGTTTTATGAATAGTACCCACCGTCCATAAGAAGGTACTATTCATAAAACTACAATTCATAAATGACACCATTGAAGAAACCTTAACTCAGAAACTAAGAAGAGCCGTACAAAAAACATTTAATGCTGCCAGATTAAATGCAATCTTCTACAACTATCCTAAGATAAGAACAGCCAACAAAGACAGACTGCCTGAATTCGCCAAATCTATGTGTATCTATCGTTTCAACTGCTCCTGTGGAGCCAGTTATATTGGGCGTACAATTCGGCAAGTCCGTCATCGCATTACTGAACATCATCCGTCGTGGTTAAACAAAGGACAGGTAAAAGTGATTAAAAGTTCTATTCTCTCTCACTTGGTTGACACAGGTCATCAAGTCGAATTGAATAAAGCTTTTAAGGTTATCTACAATATCCCATCTAATTTGCCACATGGTTTACGAGTGCGCCTCTTGCACATTGCGGAAGCCATCGCAATCCATGTTCACAAACCTGACCTTTGCATACAAAAGAGATTCGTACAACCACTTTTCCTGCCCTGGCCATCAGTTTCATACTTCTTCCATTTTTTTATTTTTTTTATTTTTAAACTTTTGTAATTTTACTTCTGTTGTTTTTGAACTTAATAACTTCTCAACATTCATCTCTTGATTCTTACGTAACTACCATCCTATTGACCATCCGTTAAAATTCTGTTCCTTCTTTGTTTCTTACATTACGCAACTTAGCAACTTCTTGATCACTTTGAATATTAATAATCCTCTCTCTTCCAATTACTGAATGTTAATTTAAAGGTCATTATGTAATTATTACGTAACGTATCCACTCGATGAGTATTATATTATTATTGTAAAACGTATATATATTAGTGTAGAGCCATGATGAAAAACTAATTGAAAAGAAATTTCTTCGCTCAATTCGTTCCTTCTTTATTTACCAAATGGCAAAATGGGAATTTTCTCTATAATCGTTTTAATGTTATCATTGTATTTATGACAGTAGAGCATTCAGTGTCCAATGGATCTACAGGTAGAAACTCTACCAAACATTTATGAAACATGACCTCTTCGAGTTAATTTTGCTTCATAACTTTGTATTTTTAACCAACATAATGGAATTATTAGTTTATTAACTTTCGTTTTATTCCTTCCAATACTGCATTTCGATGCCCTAATGAAGTGAAACAGTAACACAGCTCATTTTAATTCACATATATTAGTTGTTTGAATCTTGTGACTGATGTTTAGGATTGCGATTGATCTGTCTATTATTAGCATATGTATATCCTGTGCGGATTATATCGATATTGTCAGTAAGTCATAAACATTTTAAGCAGTGATGTTCACTCCATCGATCTCTGCTTAAAATGTTTGTGACCTACTGACAATATTGAGACGATCGGCACAGGATGTACATGCGCCAATAATAGACAGATCAATCAGAAGGTCCAAACAACTAATATATGAATTAAAATTTACCACATTTCACATGCCAGTAGCTATCTGGACTCAGCAACTAATAAGTGGATAACGCGATATGCTTTTAGGCTAAGTATACAGGGATCGAGTCCCAGGGTGAGGATCAATGCTGTGATGCAGGTACATCCGGCTAACAGGTAGCAAATAGAATGAGACCTCAGTGCTGGGGTTCCATTGTTAGCCACCATCCATCTCTGCTTAGTAATACGGTTAACTTTATTGTTTTACCTACTAGAGGATAGTATCTAAAAAATGCATTTCTCGAACTAATATTTCTTATCAGATGTTTATGACTCATTAATTACAGTAATCAATAGTCATGTTTACCTTGACTGTTTTGTTTCATTCAGAATGTACAAAAACGCATAAAATTTGGTTTTACAGACAGGTTTTTATTAACATATCTTTTTCGTGTCAAGATGATAGGCCAGGATGAGACAATATTTCAAAGGCTTTCGAATGGACGTGAATTCTTGGCATTGAGAAAATCATTTCTATACAACTGCCCACAAGACAATTAACTAAGTAGGGCATAATTCGCTTTGTTTTTTCTTTCATAGCAATCAGTTAACCACCCAATACTAATAGTTTGATAAGGATTTTCTAGACCATCACATTTCTGATAACTTCGCCAGATGCATGTCGAAAAAGAGGAAAAATTCAAGGAACTGACAAACACAATTCTTTTTACTTACTTCAACAACTGATTGAATACCATACAGTCAACACGTACAGCTAACATATCAGAAGAATAGTATTTTGGTAAAATGTGATTAATCAATGCATCCAACAACCAAAACGCTTTTATTTCTCTCTCATTTGGTGGACAATCAAGAACGAGTAGAAGTACAGCTGCTATATAATTCATACCCTATTTTAAAAAAGAAATACAAATGGAAGAGAGAAAGTGAAGAAGTAGAAGCAAATGAAAATGATATAGTCTTCAAATTATATTTATAATTTCATTTAATGTGGCATCCGTTGTATTACAAAATACCATAGTCTACTTATGATTAATACATGACTCTATGACTCAGAGACAATTTTAAATACATAATACATTCCTAGTTTGTAGAAACTTAAATATTTCGCTGGTGACTGGTTAGATTTTAAAGGCACGTTAAACCTTAGATTTACAAGTGAAAACAAGAATAGGGTAATAAATCGGGATATATGTGTACGTGTATCAAAAGAGAAACCGTTCATTGCTGTAGAAAGATTTCAAATACACATAGACTTCTAGAAAAAAGGAACTAAACGAGAAAACGATAATTCCTAGAATTAATTAAAAACTAATTTATATGTATCTGCAGTTTAAATCTACCAGTAGTTTAGAAAGGGATCTTAAGAAAGTAGTGTCTGTTATAATTAAAAGCAATTTGGACATTATACTGCTTTGTTTGTTTGTTTATACAACAATTCAAATTGAGTTACAAACCTACAAACATCCAGCCAACATATAACGACCGACTACCTCGACGTGCTATGTTCAGTGGTATAGGAGTAGGTTGGAAGAAAGCTAGGGGCGGCCAAACCAAAACATGGCACAAGTCCATGAAGTCACTGACAAGTGAACTGAGTCATGTTGGTAGGTGTAGACTACCTGGTTGGGGACCGCGAGATTATAGCAACCGATGGTTAGAGACCCTGAATGACATGGCTCAAAATCGTTTGCAATGGCGCAGGTGCATCCACTCTTTGTGATCTCCCAAATTCTAATCTTCTGAATTCTTCATGTCCCTTTTTTCCTCTTTTCAAATTTATTTCACTGAATTATACTCCTTGAATAACATCTCCAAACCCTAATCTTCCCGATTACTGCTTATACTCTTATTACCTCTACCACTACGGGATTTGAATCGACAACTGCATCTCTGTGCTAATGTGGTGTGGCAACTCGAACTGATGTACGTACGTAAGAGGTTCTACGTTGTTACTGACTGACTGCGCTCAATAGAAAAGAAGGCCTCACTATCCATTCGACTGGGAATATCTATCCAAGCTACCATGTCTGATATTATTCACATTTCACACTATTATCGGACATACAAATTAAACTCTATCCTTTCTTATCAAAAAGGTCACATCTTTTTCATCCCTGAGCTTGCACACATGTCGCTTATAAATCACTTTGACCGGAATGACATAACATCGACTTGTTCAGACCTGTCTTTTGATTGATCGCACATAATATTATTGCGTTGTTCCTTTGTACTAGTTAAACGTGGATTAATTTTTATTTGGCTATTTATTCTCTGAAGAAGTGGCTTACACTAAGTCACAAAACGTCAGAAAATCTCATTTTTCTACCCATTGGTATATTACAAATATATTATTTTATTTATCTACATTCTATGTTTAAGTATATGGGAGTTCTCACATCAAACTGTTTCAGATCAACTCTATCTTCTCATTTTTCTATCGAAATTTATAAAACGGAATAATTGCTTTAAATACTGTATTGCTTGTTTTCTTATGATGAAATTTCTGAAGTACTTCAATTAAATATAAGCTATTATATCCATTTGTAAACTAGTAAAGCAAAGTGAAATATATGTTGGCTGGATGTTTGTAGGTTTGTAACTCAATTTGAATTATTGTATAAACAAACAAACCAGTAATCATATCATATTTCCATTTTTGGCATCTTTATTTACCTAATCTACTAGAGATTGAGTTATGTATCAGACAAAGTTGAGTCAATTTATACAATTGCAAATTCTCTTATTATTTAGCGCTACCCAAAATACTCAACCACTCAATAGTTCACCATGAAAGGTCAAACACAACAAAATCTTCCTTAACCATAGGGAATTGTATGTGTATAGTCAGTCAGCTACAAACAAAGTAAAAACTACCAGAAATATTCATCAACAAGATCCAAGGCAAAGAAACGAAAGTGTGAAATTTATTTCGCTGTCATAATTGACCAATAAACTGTCTTGCTTGATTTGGGATTTTCATATGCGTACAAATATTACAGTCCATTGGATTAAACCCTGATCTAAATGAAAATAATTTTGGCTCCTAAATGGTAAGGCCGAGAGTGGGGAGAGTCAACTCTCTCTCTCGAAATGCTCTCATATGACAACGTGCCATCTCTACCTACTACCCTACGACTAACGTCAACATTTCTCACTCTGTTATTCTACGATACAAGGGTTAATATGTTAAAGTTTATGGTCAAATACTGGCAACTTATTCATGCCCTAAACATTCAAATACCAGAATGATACGTGGATGCGTGTGATACACACAATTTCAGTAAACTTTGATTGGCCGTAACAAATTAGAAGCTAGGTGAACACGAGATATGTTTTCGAAAAAGTAAAAGAACTTGATAATAAAATATAGACAATTTTGTAACAAGATTTCATCTTTGTGTTTTTCTTCATCGAATTCAGTATTTAACAATCTTACCACATATGTCTAAAATTTTATGAAAAACATCTATCGTCAGCAGACTGAGTAGTGCATTAATTCGGATTATCAGTTATCTATTAATGACTAAATAACACGATTTCGTAAACTGATGCGTCGTCTCACTTTTAGACTGTTTACTAACACTGCAAATAATACAATACATCCGAGAGTGATCATTAGTAGGATCATGAGGAATCTGGAAGTATTAATAAGTGTACGAAAAGTAAACTAATGAAATAGCTAATAGAAATCGTTACAAGAAACGTACTTGGCAATAACCGATCTTTGGAAAATGAACTGCAAAGGCAGACAATACTCTTTTTAACGATACCAGCTTACTACTGGGGCCATCTGGATCTTGAAAATGTTTGTTTTCTGGAAAGGTACGGGGAACATCTGGAAAAAAGCGAGAAAATCGGATGTATGAAACGAAACATCTTGAGTTCAGAACCAGTTAATAAAGAACAAAATCAAGTATATTTCAACAAATTTTTTAGGCCTTGCAGTTTGTAAACCGATGTATTTACTTTATTTTCTCGTTAAATTTCGTAGTTACCCGACTTCAAATGTGACTTTTTCTTGTTATTTTGACTTTCTCAAACGAGTGGTGCCCATCACTGTTATTATTGTTTCCAGCTATTTTATTATTCCTTTTAAGTGTCCTCTTTTAATACTACTACGACAGATTTCTGTACTATATTCTTACAGATACCAATAAACTCCGTAGTCCAAATGATATAAAGTTTCTTAGATGTAAAACCCAATAACTGAATGTTGCAGTTCGCCTAAGTTAAACTGTAAAGGTTATTGTAAACGGTTACATGACTACGAGTTGTAAATTAAACAACGGCTGGTTGCAACAAACAGAAATAAAATAGCGATTCTTCCGAATAAAAAGGATTAAAACACAGTGATTGACTACACTAGGTTATTCCAAAATAGCTTTAGAACTGACGAATCGAAAACTGTGTATGATAGATGACGTTGATATTCGCAACAGTATATTCGCCTCCATAAACACAGTTAATGTTTAAGGTACTAACAGTGGAGGGTTAACAAACACATTCATCGAGTCCAGTTTGTACAGAACAAAACCGAAAAAAACACTACTATAAACCTTGATTGTAATGTTGTGGTTGATATACAACTAAATTACTGAATGCAGAAATTACATAACGAAGCTCAAATATAAACAATTTCTACATCAGTCTGGGCAGAAACATACCAGCCAAGATAACATTCCAAATATGTGTTGGGGGTACTTTGGAAACAGCTATTTGGTAGGCATCTGGATTAGCTTCCATTCGTTCATAAGCTCCAGAAAGATGCATCCAAACTGTTGGGCGAATGTGATCCGGTATTCCCTTCCGACAAAACCTTTTAACTAAAACAATAAGGTCAAATAACTCATGACATACATCTCGCACTCTTTTTGGGTGGAAGGGTAGAGAAATACTTTTCCCAACGAGAAACTCTTCTCTGAAGTACTGACTCATAAGTCTGAACAAAGTCGGAATATTCATCGTCCTCAACGTATTCTGGCGATTCAAAACCCCTGTCTGGAAATTTCCTATAGAGAAGAACATAATATCAACTAATGGTAAACACAAACTGCTCATCTACGGAACTCATGAAAACCAAGGTCATACATAAATTCGAAATAATTTCGCACAGTTCAAATGGTTCAAATGGATCACAGTGACCTTGGTGAAAGCCAAAACATGAGAAATTTAAGAAAAGGGGCTGTTTTGACTCTTTTTCATCTTTTTGAGGATGACGTGACCAACAAAAAATATAAAGTCTGCCGTTTTCATCTAACTAGGTGTATTAGTGACGTTTTTTAACCTTCCATGAATATAATGCATTCAAACTTGGTGATCTTGTAGTGACCTACTTTTATCAAGAGAATGCGATTGGTTTAATGGAAAAAATTGTTAATATAATCAATTGTACCAGTGATTGTTTAACTGTTCTTGTTTTTTTAACTGTATAAAGACAAACATTCTCCTGTTGATTGTGACCTTGCACGAACTTACGTTTTCTCAGTGATTCCGCTTGTACTCCTGTGGAATGATCTCGGTGTTCCTTCGATATCACGAAATCGTCAACAAATATATCTCGCTACAACCTCCAGTCGCCTTCTGATATCTGGTACGCAACCTTCTCGTATTAATGATCATAGTGAGCAACGACTCGACTCGTTACTACAATCTTACCAAAGACTGGGTTCAATTATTTCATTACGAACCATCCGTTTCATTTTACTCTACTCCATGATTATTGCTCGGTAAAAGGAGGCCCAGATAGATATTAAAACGACCAACTCAGGAAAACTAGCAATAAAAATGTTTATTAGGTTACAAAAATCCTTGTTATAGGTTTCTGTTTCAGTTTCTTTTCTTCTGAGTTAAGAAGAATGAACGAAGCAGCTAGATTCATTCCTCCAGACTTTTAGTAATGTGAAATCTTAGTGCAGTTTGTAGTTTACCTACAGAAAGTGTTAATACATAGTCTACGATAAAGAATTCCATGGTACAACTCATAAAAATATCAGTGCTTCAGTAAGGAACTATTCGATTTAAATTTCAAATTTCTCAGAATGATGTCTTAACTGACTAGTTCTAAATGAAATGACAAAATAATAAATCACCGTCAAATTCTCCACACAACATACGATAAGTCAGGATTCAATCACTTTTGGGTCTATGGTATGGTAGTGGAAGTAAGTCGAGGTCGCCAAGTCTATCTTAAAAGGCAGACTACATAGGCCGCTAACCCATTAAATCACCGGGTTTTTATTCGAGTATCAGCTTCATACCTGAAGCACGTACACGGTCCATGGATGCATGTGAATGGATTTTGATTGATTCGTGAAGACATTTGCAAACGTTACACTCGATTTGGACATATCTGTCAGTTGCCATTTGAGATCAATGCTCACCTATCTACAACAGGTGGTTTGTGATGTTCACCCTCAACTCGATGTGGACGGTCATTGGGACTTCTTACTGCACATGCTCTTATGTGCTACAAACCATTCAGTTCCTCAAACGGTTCCCAAAAGCTGCAAGCCACCTACAGTAATCAAGAACCGTACCCTTCGCCTGCTAAGCCGCAAAAGGCACCGATGGGTGTAATACAAACGAACTGACAACAACGGAGGGTACAGGCAATATAAACATATAAGGAACATATGCACGAAGGCTATAAGAGAAGACAGGCTTCAGTACCAAACAAAGCTTATGCACAAATTTGCCTCCAATCCTAAGAGCTTATTTCATTATGCAGCCTCTCTTCGTCAAGCCAAAACTGGAGTTTCCCAACTGGTAGGTCTTAACGACCTGACCAATAACGATGGCGACGCCGCTAACCTTCTGGCTGAACATTACTCTCAGACATTTCAACCGACCGACATTAACTTTACTGATGACAGTTTCGTTTGCAACTCCACAGAACTTTCCGAAGTGAACCTAAGCGCTGACTTGGTGTTCCGGAAACTTCAGCACTTAAGATTAGACACTTCTCCTGGCCCGGACATGGTTCACTCCGCCATAATGAGGGAAGCCGCCGCAGTCCTGGCAACGCCGCCTAGCGTGATGTCCTCACACTCGCTAAGTCGAGGAAAACTACCGGAAAATTGGAAGTTGGCTCACATCACACCAATTTTCAAAGGAGGTCAACTCAGGAAACTTTCAAGTTACCGACCGGTGGCTCTTCTCTCAATACCTTCAAAACTCGTGGAGTCCCTGATATGTGATGGTATAAATGACTATTTACTGTACTTAAATTTCTTCTCACCCCAACAGCATGGTTTCAGGAAGGGTTACTCTTGTATAGCCAACCTGCTGACTGCGGTGGACAGATGGACAAGCATCCTCGATCGCAAGGGAAAAGTTGATGTCATTTACCTTGATTTCTCAAAAGCTTTTGATAAGGTTAACCACTTGTGTCTTATCAACAAGCTCAAACGACTAGGTATCAGACCACCTCTAATCTATTGGCTCACTTCATACCTGAAAAATCGACATTTTAAGGTCAGAGTTAATTTCACTTTATCTCAGGCTATGGAATGTCCTAGTAGGGTCCCTCAGGGCTCAGTACTAGGACCTCTTCTCTTCTTGATCTACATAAATGATCTTCCTCGACAGTTAACGTCAGACTTATTACTTTTTGCCGACGACGTGAAACTTTGGAGAGAGATACGCAACGAAGACGATATACAGGCACTTCAGGAGGATCTGACTCGACTTCAAAGTTGGGCAGACGATAACGGACTTACCTTTAACACTTCAAAGTGTAAAGTAGTCCATCTGCGACATGTCGCAAACTACAGTTACAACTTAGGTAACCCCTCTCTAGTAGTATCACAAGTCGAAAAGATTTAGGAGTCCTGGTGCCCCATGACTTAAAGTCTTACGCTAACTGTGACAAAAATGCCATTCGAGCAAACCTTGTACTGGTAACGTTGAAGCGCATTTTTGGACAGTTTGACGGACGAACTTTCCATACAATCTTCAATAGTTTCATCCGTCCCCATTTAGAGTACGGAAACATAGTACTCCTCCCCTCATTCCAAAAGGATAAGGACACCCTGGAGCGTATCCATCGGCGAGTCACGAAATCAGTTCGAGGACTCAAATCTTAACCTTACGAAGAGCGCCTCCATTCACTAGACCTTTACCCATTAGAGTATAGGCGTCTTAGAGGTGACTTACTAATGGCTTATAGTATTCTTAACACCTCTGGACATCCTCTCAAACACCTACTTAAGCTTAGTTCCAACACTAACCTAAGAGGTAACACCCAGAAACTGGAAACACAATATAGCAAAACGGAATGTAGACACAACTTCTACTCCTTAAGAGTTGTCAAAAGCTGAAATTCGCTGCCGGCCGAGCTAGTCCAAGCGACTTCTCAGGAGTCGTTCAAGAGGCAACTTGACCTATTCTTAAGGACTAAGGATAGTATCGCACTATGATTTACTAATTTCTTTTCCTGTTTTATTGTTAACATACCTAGGTTCCTGCCTGGAGGATTTGGTGATCCCCTGCTACTAGACACGGAAGCCTGTTAAGCGAAAGCTTCTTCTATTCCGTCCACAAACATTTGAACCGTTTGAATCCCATCAATGAACACTTTCAAAGATAAGCGTACTTTTCATAAGTAATTAAGGTTAAGGGACAAATATAGATCCATCAACCTACTGTCCTCATACGTGAGGATTGATAACTTGGGTTCTTGTCCGAACTACTGCTGATTAAATGTTTGAAGGTACTTTTCAGCGTCACCCAAGGACAACAGTCTGCGCGGAAAGTGGTTACTGCTTGTGAGGTAACTGGTTAGTCACTTAATTTACCCCATCCACTGGCTTCTCACCAATCATTCTTGTTTCAATCCGTAAATTCTTTAGTTTTTATTGTTTATTGTGGTATTACGCAATATCCATATACTTTTTTGTGTCTGACAAGTATTTCCTACAATCTAGATACAAATAAAAAAGGAAGAGTCATTTTCCTATACCTGGTGAAAAAGTTTGAAATTCAGATGAAAGAAATGAAATCGATATCTTGCTTGTTTACATATAGTTAGCGACAGGCTCTTGAGGTCATATGTCCATATGAGCATATGTGTTATATAACATGTGTTATCAGGCGCCTTTTGTTAGAATGGAAATTGATATATTTCATTAACAACAAATGGCTTCACGACTGATAAAAAGCATGCGTGTTCACGTTTCTATTTACGGATAGTTCGTGATTTGGAACAAAGTACCATAGTTATTCATATTTCTTCATAAACCCTCAATTTTGGAGTTTTTTCAGTTTCAGTTTAGAGAAAACAAGAGACTTGATGGTCTGTGTCAGTCCTGAAAATGGTAGTCTCTCAGTCGATCCAAATTTCTTTTGAAAGAGTCGACAGATAGAATCTCAACCCCATGCTGAGTTAGTGAATTCCACTCGTTGATGATTCGATGGGAAAGTCGATAGTCAGCTGACAAGTAATTTGTTCTGGGCTTGTGAACGTTTTTGGAGTGTCCTCGTAAATTATCTGTTTTGGGAGACAAGGGAAATGAGGGCATAGCAGGTGCAAATTTATCACTAAGCAATTTGAAAATTGTGATCAAGTCGCCTCTAGTTCTACGATATGACAACGGGAATAGTTTTAGCTTGGCCAGTGAAGCATCATACAGAAGCTTTGCTATTCCGGGAATCAGCTTAGTTGCTGTACTCTGAACCTATTCCAAAAGCTGACTGTCTTTTTTAAGTAGGGGCTAGCCGCTTGTATGCAGTACTTAAGTTTAGGACGTACGAACACTGCATTACTTGAAATATTAAGATGAAATATTTTACGGAATCTGCAGGAACGTGGTTTTTTCAGTCTCATAGGTCATGTTTCACGGCTGTTTCAATTGCCGTGTAGCGGTTGTTAGCTTCGGTCTAGCTCTATTTTCAGTCTTCAGTAATAGTTTTATTTGGTTAGTGGATCTGTGTTGATGCTTACAGTTTGTCTTTTAATGAAGTTTCAGCCTTTCTTTAAAGACGTTCATTGATGGGGCTAATATCACTAGTTTGGGTAAGGCATTTGAGTAAGTGACCACACAATAAGAAGAACGGAATCCTACTCTGCGTTTATTAGATCACGGGTTTTGAACCTTCTTGTTATGTTGTCGAAGATTATTAGTGCTGGATGGAGCAAACAGATAAGAAATATTAACATCCAAGTTGTAATTAAACGCCACCTGACGTTCTACAAAACGATAAAAAGAAAAATTTTAGACGTTTTAAGCACTCCCCTTAAGAGAGTTTGGAAAGACCCTTCCACAATTTTGATCCCATAACACACCAAAACCTTTGGCAGCTGTTGCATTGCAATGCATAGTTGTTTACAAGTCATGAATTACCATTACCCATAAGTCTTTGAGGTCCTACACGCATGGAAGAGATGTGCCGTCATTAATATACTGGTTACTACTTTCGTGTCCAATGAGCATGAGCCCACTCTTTCTTGAATTGGTTTCTAGGCCTTACCATTTGAACCACCTAACTAGTTAGTCTAGGTTAGCTTCGGGAGAAAAATAACCAGCCTTATTCTTAATTGTCTCCCAGATTTTGACATCATCCGCAAATAACAATGTTGATGAATTAAGCAATCGAGAGTAATTTATTGATGTAGAGGATGAAAAGTAGGGGACCAAAGATGGTGCCACTTTTAACGGGCTTCCGTTTACACAGTGTCCCATTTACCCTCACCCTTGTCTTCAGCCCTATAAGAAGTTGTTTATCCACTCTTGTACAGCACCTGCTATTCTGAAGCTCGAGAGTTTCTTTACAAGACCTAGATGAGAAAGCTTTTCTAATACTTTGCTAATGTCCGTAAATGTCACATCGACAGACATGCAATTAGTTAGGGCTTATGTCCAAACCTTGCTCGCAATATTTAAGTTGGTTGAGCGTGAATTCTTGTTTTGAAACCCGTGTTGCTCGGGAGTCAACAGATTGAATAGTTCCATGTAACTTAATAACTTAACTTGAATTGCCTTTTCAAGTATATTAACTACTATGATGGTCAGACTGACAGCTCGGTAGTTAGATACGATCTGTCACTGACTATCCTTAAGTATAGGATTAACTAGCACAGGTTCTATAGCTGGTATCTCTGAGCTTTTGTTATAACAATTATTGTTAACAATGACGTTAGTTTAAGCTTCTCTGAAATAAGTTGATAAGGTCTCAGCTTTGGCCAGATCTGATTTAGCCGATATATCTGAATTTTCGTGTAACTGTAGTGTAATGTATGAAAAAAATCGTTTTGAGCAATTAAGGCTAACATATACCAACTGTCTTTCGAAAATGGTACGACATCCAGCTATGATCTTTTTGCATATATCTTCGTGCCAAGTTTCCCAGAGGATAAATATTTTATGCTATAAAATCACGTAACTTAGTAAACCGAATCTGTCTTCGGACCAGTTCTTAGAACCTCAGAGTAACGTTTCTTTAAAGTTCACCTATGTGATTTATTCGTTAACATTCTTTAACTTCTAGCTGGAAATAATTTATACAATACTACATTTACCACTTACTTTTATACTGTCAAAGTAATAATGTTTATCCCTCTTCCTTCTCAATAACTATTTATTCATGTATCTTGATGTGATTTTTGACGTCACAGCGTTTTTTATTAGAGCGTTTATTGTATTATTTATTCAACTATAAGGGTGCTAGTTTTCGTCAATTTAGAGTTTGATATGGATGTGCTAGTTGCCGTCGCCCCTACTCACAGTTGCTTCTTGGCTTGATCACATATAATTGTTATTTTCTATTTTATTGTTATGTGGTCGGGCATGCCTGCATATACACTACGCTTGCTTGAAATGTAATATTAGTGGAGGCTGATTGCTGATTCCTGGATTCAAACTGCAGGGCAGAAAGAGAAGCTATGGAATCGTGGATCAGTAAGATCTTGGCAGTTGACTCAAGATTACTAGTACTTGTTGGACGTATCATTGGTTAACACAGGGACACTAAATCATAGAAACTAGACTCTGATTGTTGGCTTTGTCACATGATATCAGTAGGCTACCATAAGTCATAACAGGTAAACCAGTATGTCCTGGATTTCGACCTTAGATGTAGAGTTCTAGGTAAAAGTAGTAGGACGTTTATTAATTTTTGTCTACGTAGGAGCTTGGAGCCTACATAATACTCGTAGTGAATGGTTGGAGGCTTTGAGTAAGATGACGCAAAACCTCTCAATGATGCAGTTATATCCACTGTCCATCATCCAAATCTGGAGTTGTGGAAAATTCCCAAAGTTTCATTCTTTGGTGGTATTTTTATTTTCGAGTCATTTTCTTCTTACCAAAAGTTTCATTACTTTTTGGTGTTGTCTCCCATTCTCTCTCTGTCATTTTGCTGATTTTTTTTCAATGTTCTAATGTAAGGTAGAGGAGATTAGACGGATTCACAATTGTCTCAGTTCATAAGTTTGTGATAGCTGACTGATACTAATCGAACTAGGTAGTCTAAAAATTCGTCAACCCAGGCTATGTTGAATAGATTAGAAGTAAACTAGAAAAGTGAGGGGAACTGGGACAGGTCATAGACTTCGCTTATAGTTTTACTAACTGTTGTTATAAGCCGTGTCAAGAGGGTCCTCAATACAGCTGTAATATACAACCATAGAGTTAGTGATATTGATGAAATTAATTTCAGTGAAGGAGATCTGGTCATTGATTGCTTTTACTGAAATGTTAAATACGGGATTGTTCAATAAATTTTATTCTCTGATTCCGTTCGTTTCAACTGATTTTTTTTGTGCTCATTTACAAAGAAAAGATAGAATATGGCTACCGGTGGAATCCCTCTGTTCTCAGTACATGTTAAACATTTGCTTTTCTTATCACTTTGTTTCTGAAGTTTATGAAGTAGTACCTCTACATCTTCGTGCTAGGCTTAACGTTGTTGATATTTGTTTGTTGATGTGCGTTTTCGTTTCCTATTTATACTCGTTTTGCATGATGTACTACTACTAATTCCATCCAAAATATAAATCATAACCACTCTGTAATCTTTGACTTTTATTTTAAATAATTTTAATATCAGTGGATTTCAGTTCAAGGAATTAGATATTTTGATCGACTTTGAATTGTCACCTCCTATGAATCATACAAGGGCTTTACACTTTGTTTTCAAAGTGGCCAATCGTAATGAAACAATTGATTTTTACAAACGGATTCTTGGAATGAAGGTATGTTAATGTATGCACTCTAGATGAAAACAAGTGTGTATATATATATGCGTGTATGTAAGTGATAATAGTGCAAACTTTAGCTGGTTTTGCTTTATTTTATTGATGTTTAGTTGAATAATACATTTTTTTCAATAGTCCACAAGTTCACTTGACTACACTTCTTCCAATACACACACAAAAGAGTTTAATTATTCGATAAATGTATAAATGTTTTTCTAAGCATTTTGAGTTTGTTAGCTCAAACGATTATTCACAATAATTTTTTATCATTTCGGCCAAATATTTTCTATACACTAGTTTAAAAATATTTAAGTGATTTTGAGTTTGAAAATTTCTATGGATTCATGTTAACTAGATAATGTTACTTACTTACTTACTTACGCCTGTTACTCCTCGTGAAGGAGCATAGGCCTCTTACAACCATTCTCCATCCAACCCTTTCCTGGGCAATCCTTTCCAGCTCCTTCCAGTTGTTATTCATCCTTTCTATATCTGCTTCTATTATCCGACGTAATGTGTTCTTTGGCCATCCTCTTTTCCGCTTCCCTTCAGGATTCCAAGTTAGGGCTTGCCTCGTGATGAACTTTGATAATTTGCGGAATGTATGTCCTATCCATTTCCATCGTCTTTTCCTAATTTCTTCTTCAATTGGAAGTTGGTTTGTTCTCTTCCAGAGAAGGCTGTTGCTGATGGTATCCTGCAACTAGATGATGTGCTATTTTGTAAAACTTTACATCATAAATACTACTATTTTTCAATTAATTCTACATTGAAGCTATAGAGATGATATTTTGTATGGTGATAAAACTTATATCAACCAAAATGTCGGTCAGAAATGTGACCTAGTGTTAGTATATTGGATTTAAGAAAATATTGATAGAGATAATATAACTGTCCAGTCTTTTTTTAACTTTATATTACTACTTATATAACAGAAATTGGATAAAAGTAAGAGGCTCCATAGAACATAAATATAATGATCAACAAGCTTAGTATCTTATGGGTTGCAATTAGTAAAAAGAATTAGTCATCTACTGAAACTTGCATGGTTTCTTCTAATGTAGTTCAATTGAAACTGTTAATCTCAAAATGGAAACACAATACGTTTCCCCATGAAGTTTGTAACATTTTAGTTAGTGGTATCATTATTTTTTCTGTAGTTGTGTAAAATTCAGGCTATTAGGGCAAAAATTATCATATGTAGAGCAGTTTTGTTCATCTCTATCAACGAACTTCATTTTCAAAATTGTCAGTGACTTTCCTGTCATTTAAGGTAAACCATGAGATGAGTAATAATGAAGTTAGATGTGGTGTATAAGGTAAAGATGATTATTCAGTGGATAAGACTTTAATTTGTCGTCGACTAGGTTGTCTAGGATAGGAGTTGTATGTAACTATTCTATTTATTGACGCACAATGGTGGCTAGTAAAGGGTTGTTTTCATAATTCACTAGGAGCGCCCAAAGTAAAATATAGCTGTGTTTTCGGTTAGAACTGTATATATTGCTTTACTTCTAAGCATTAGGGTTTGATGAAATGCCATACTTCATTCAATAAAGCTTTTTTATTTTTCACACACCCGAAAATGTTTTGGCGAATATGTTCTTCATTAGAGAAGAATTAAAAATAACTTTTGATTAGAATTAAGGTCGATGTAACAAAAGCCATATTTCTTCTTGAGATATTTATAATTGATAAATATAGTATTCATGTAATCCGTATTCGTTTAAAGGCTGCATAAAATTGAATACTGTATGATTTGATTACTAGTGAATAACACGTAGATTGTAACTGAATTACCATAATAAATACTAACTATGTTGATCCAATCATATATTTACTCTTAGAGAGAATAAATCTAATGAAATGTTCATACTAAATAAAAAGTATGAAAAATAACGGTTGATTGCAATTTGACGGCTTCTCTTGTCAAAGTAGCTAATGAAATGTAACTAAAATTTGTGTGGCTATTTTGTGGTTGAAGTGAGTACGAAACGCGGACAGTGACCAGAATTTGAGTGCCTAAGCCAATACGATATCAACTAGGAAGTGTATTTTCCTATATTCAGACGCTTATTATTGGTTTGATCACGTGTTACAGTCTACCCATATCCTTCTGGCTAGTCTAAGTGTTAGTTGTGCCGTATGTGCTATTAATGTCGATAGATATAAGTAGTATATATCATTTATCGAAAGTGGAATGACTGACGACAGAAGGTTGAGAAAATCGAAGCAAAGAGAGAATTTGATATCGAAACAACCAAACAACCAAGTCAGAGACAATTGACGAGTATTTTGCAAATGAGGTTTTGCTGTATGGTTCTCAGGTTTTACCAAGATATTCTGTAATATTGTATTAAAATACATTTGGTTTTCCCCACTTAAGTTCTCGTTTACTACAGTTGCTTAAATCTCTCGATGAATCATTCGCTTTCCTATATATATGTGCTTCTAAAATCTTATCAATTCACTCGCCCCTAGTTCGCATTCACTTTCATTCGCATTCCTGCTCGCACTCACTTTGTGTGACTGTGGCTTTAGGATATGAGCTGTACAGTGATAAAATATAGTCGATGCTTCGCATTGTCTTCTGAAATGTATACACAGTCGGGATTTATCAAACAATGATTGTCACGACTAGTGATCTACGAAGCCTTAAGAATTATCTTGAAAATAATTCCCGTACTGTAGTTACACTTGCTTTTATTTAAAACAAGGATGATATTAAGTTTGTCAATTAGCAAAACGACCCTCTTTTCCTGACATAACTGTCATTAATCGAAACCGGCTGAAAAACTAGGTACTTGACTATTAGATGTTATAGTCTAGCCGGTAAAGAATTACGACTACAAATTGGGTCTTATTAGTTCTTTAATTTCATTTTGGATCCATAGGTAAATGGATCTAAGAGTTGAGGTTATTCTATATGGTATGATGGCTGAAATATTTTTTCATAACTTGATCATTATTTGTTTCTTATTTACTTGTTGCTTGATCACTTCACAGGTGTTACGACATGAAGAATTTACTGAAGGTTGTAAAGCTTCATGTAACGGGTAATTAACCTTAATCAATATTGATTCACATCATTCATTTAGACCATATGATGGGAAGTGGAGCAAAACCATGATAGGTTATGGACCTGAGGATAATCATTTTGTTGTTGAATTGACTTATAATTATGGGATTGGTGCTTATCAACTTGGTAATGATTTCCAGGTGCGTTTTTTGTCTGTTTCATCTCTCCTAAATGATAACAGTATATTCTTATTCATAATAAGGATGCATATTCAAGAATTATCGGTGGATCATGGCCTATCACATTGAAAGAGTCGAATTCAGTAAAAGTGGAAGCTCCTGGTGGATATGTATTTTGGGTGCATAACAGTGATAGTAACGGGGATCCAGTTCAAATGGTGGCTTTATCTACTTCAAATCTCAAACGATCCATTGGTATGCTGTATTTCTATTCTCCTTCCTAAAAAGTTTCTTCTATTATTATACAGATTACTGGTCTCATAAACTTAGTATGACACTTGTGTCATCTAGCTCAGATGAAGCGGTGTTTTGTTATTCACCAAATCAGTGTAGTTTAAAACTAATTTCCATTCAAAAGCCCATTGATCATGCCAGCGCATTTGGTCGTATAGCTTTTGCATGCCCAACTAGTCAAGTAACACTTATTTTAAACATAATTCATAATTTATCAATAGTTACCAATCTTACAACAAACAATGGATTCACAAAATGAAACGATTCTTACTCGTCTAGTCAGCTTGGATACGCCAGGAAAAGCTACTGTACAAGTGATTATTTTAGCTGATCCAGTAGGTTTATTCTTTTGTTGATTTGTATCACTTTTGTACAATTGAAGCTGTTGGGCAATTTCCATAATTTCCTAATTGGTAACTGGAATAATATATCTTCTTTATACCTGCCAGTACGTTATAGTAGGTCTTTAGAGGACAATTCAACAGGATTAATGAGAAAATATAAATCGTACGTGATAAAGCTGTGGCGATGCCAAGTGTGTAGACTGGGATTTTAGGCTTTTGATTTACACAAAGCAGTATGCTTAATAAGAAGGTGAGAGTATATCAGCTCGACTTTCTAATTAAACTCAAATGCAATCTAATGGGCCAATGGATGGAGTTATCATTAGGCGGAAGACAGAAGATAAGGAAGTTTAACTCGAAATCTGTAACTTTGTAATTCTAATGTGTTGGGTTTACTAAGATACAAATAAACATGAACTATCTTTGCAGTTCAGTAGCAACAATACATAAAATGTTGAAAAAACAAGTTGCAACATAATTTGGGGATATTTAAGAACTACTGGCTTACCAAGTTTGATCGTAACTCCACAGGTTATTCCAGTTGTAAAGTTAGGTCGCTCAATGTTTATGCGAACCTGAGTCAATTAAAATGGCTTACATATACGTTATGCATGGTGGGTAATTGCCTGATTTTGAGTGAGCAACACTTATGTTTTACAAGAAAATCACAGATAAAGGAAATATGTCAGTTGTTGACTAAGTAGATCAGTGATTAAGTAATCAAATCGTTCGACTTTAAGCCACGTAGTCGCGGGTCCGAACTCCGCTGAACCTTTTTCAGTTTAGTCGAACGGTCAGTGTCACTAGCCCTCACACTTATATTTGTGATCAAAGCCAAGTACATGAACTCATACTAAATAAATAATTAGGTAGAAAATACTAAAAAATGAATGAAATAGAGGGAACGCGTCTAGCCTATATTTAGCCATTGTTTATCTTACACTTGTATCATAAGAAAAGTAGTGACAGTCGCTCCATAGAAAGGGGAAACTTACAGTAGAATAAAGGAAATTTGAGCTCCACGGCAATCTACACTTTTGACCAATTTGTTTTTTTCGTATACACGACTTGCGACTCATTTGATGTTTTTTTTTATTTATTTACTATGCTTGATTCGACTGTTCATTGTGCAATTTTTCGAAATATCACTCTGTTATTCAGTTGTTTAACAAATTGGACGTCTATAATTATGATGTTAACTATAATCACAATCTATCTAATTTAGCTCATGCGATAGGATAGTGTCGTTAGCCCATCATAAAATGAATGTGATGTGTGGTATTGGAAGTAAGATATGATTGGTCGTAGAGAGTGAACGAGCAGCCACAGCCTATGAACTATTAAATATGTGATCTACCTTCTTGTCATTGATTTCTACTCCAAACTCATTGAGTGTGACTGTTTGTAATTGCATTGGATAAAGTGTTATCTAGTGTTAATTTGGTTCTCTATTTTGGGTCGTGAATCTTGGTTCCGATAAAACGTGATTAGTATTATTATCATCGTGTTAACGTATCCTCATAATATATGTGAGAGAGAAAAAAAGTTGTTTTAAACCATCCATTATACCAGAGTTTCACTGCTATTTGACTTTGTACTGAATTTAGTGTGGATCTTCTTTTCTGTTTACTTAATTACCTCTTATTTAGGACGGTCATGAAATCTGTTTTGTTGGAGATGAAGCTTTTAGACAGTTGTCACAAGTGGATTCACAAGCGGATAATCTACTACAATCAGCTATAGCCTCAGATAAAAGTGATGAATGGTTCAATAAACATGGAGGCAAGACAACGAAATAAAACGATCGTTTTCAACTCATTGAATCTTGTGTTTACGGTATCATGAATTGTTATGTGTGGAATGTCTGATTTTTTTATTGTTTATTTCTCTCCAATAATATGCAATTTTATACAACATTCTCGTAGATTATTAAAACAACCATTCATTGGATAGTAAGATATAATTTTTATACCGTAAAATGTATTTAGGCTCAATGTGTAGTTCCGATCCAGTTGAAAACAATTTAAAATATACGTGGAAATCCTGAATTCAAAACTTATATCTGTTACCATTGAGCAAACGTTGACATGAGTTTTCATAGAATTTGACAAAGGGAAATTAACGGAATCAATATATTGACATAACACTGATTGTTGTGGTAAATACTCACCTATTTTCAGTCGGACAAGAAGGTTTACGATAATATTGCAAACAGCACATAATAATGAAATATGTCATTAGTCAGTAAATATACTTACACACTTACAGACACACACACGCCCGTTACGCTTCGTGTAGCATAGGTCGTCGACCAGAATTCTAAAACCAAATCTTTCTTAAGCTTCCCTTTCCAGTTTTTGGGATGTACTATTCATTCTTTAGATATTTGTTTCCAATCCCCGGCACAAAGTGTTCTTCAAGGTCAGAGGAGAAGAGGAAGACCAAAGAACACAATACGCCTAGAAATGTAGGCAGGTATGAGGATAGTGAACAATAATTGGATAGAAATAGAAAGGAAGACCCAGAAAAGAGTCGGTTAGAGAATGCTGGTCGGCAGTCTATGCTCCATTTGGAGTAGCAGGAGTCAGTAAGTAAGTAATGTTCTTCACTGTAGGGATGCTGCACTTACTTTTCTAGTCTATGCCTTCAAATCTGCATCCGATCCTCATTGTTTACCATTGATGCTGCTCAGGTAAATGGAAGTTTTCATCTCTTTTATAGCTTTTCCAAGTGTGATTGGGTTGTGCTTGCTGTGACCTATTGATGCAGAGGCTGTTGCTAAAGTGGCTTTCTTCACCTGCAATTGTTGCTCTGTATGAGGTATAAGAGCTAGGTTATCTACCAAGTCCAAATCGTCTAGTCGCATCCTACCTGTTTATTGTATTCACTGCTCCATCTGAGATACTCAGGTCTTCATAATGCAGTCGACCACTAGAAGAAAGAAAAGAGTTGAGACTAGGTAACCTTGTCTGACTTCTATCGTCACTTGGACTGGATCTGTCAGTCGTCGTCCGTCGCATGAATTTCGGTTGAAGTTGACGATTTTCCCAGGTATACCATAGTGTCGGAGATGGTTCCATAAGGTTCTATCCACAATGCTAAACGCTTTCTCACAGTCAACGAAGTTGATTTATAGTGACGAGTTCCATTCAATTAACTGTTCAGTGATGATCCGTAATGTTACGACTTGGTCTGTGCGCGATCGATCCTTAAGGGATCAAGCCTGTTGATCTGGAATATGGCCGTCTACTGGATCTTTCATTCGGTTTACCAACATTGTTGAAAAAAATATATATATTAGTGTGGAGCCATAATGAATAACTTGTGGAAAGTAAATATTTCTGTCTTTTTATATTCTTCTAAATGTCTAAATTGAATTCTCTCTTTGTTGAGTTTTTTTATTCAATAAGAAAGAAAGATTAGTTCAGCGAAGAGTTCTCTTTTCGGCGAATTCATTTTTAAAACTGTACAATCGCAATTATATAGATACTTATTTTTACAGGGTGATAATAATAATACTGATAATAAACTTATGATATACATGGTGATGGTGAGGTTAAATAAACAAAGGTATTAGAAAAAAAAAATTTTAAACAAGAAAAGTTTGATAGTTAATGGCTTAAGTATTCATCGGGTAAGGATGGCTCAGCATGATAAAATAACAGAGATGAAATGTAATCGGAATGATCGTTGAAATAAAAACAAACCTGTTGGGGGTACAAGATTTGAAGGGAAGACGGAAGGTGAAGCAGGTGGCTGTAAGGGAACAAGAGTATGAAGAAAGAGAAAAAAATTTTTTTTAATACATTAAGACCACGGTAAAAGAAGAGGTTGTACCAGTCTCTTTTGTACACATAATTCTGGTTTTTCAAAATGTATGGCTATTGCCTCGGCAATGCAAAGAAGATGCAGTCTAATTGTCTTAGGAAGGTTTCTACTTACCTTGTAGATGACTTTGAACGCAGAGTCTGTCTTGATTGAGTGACCTGTGTTCACAAGGTGTTCGATTATAGAACTTCTTATTGAACCGCTGCCTCCTCTTCTTAGCCACGCCGGACAATGTTCTTGAATTCTTTTGGATAAAGTACGCATCGAACGACCTATATACCTAGCTCCACAAGAGCAGGTAAATTGGTAAATGCACCTGCCCTCAGTACCAGTTCATCTGAATTCATGTAAAATTTTGAATGAAGATAAGTGTCTATAACTGACTGATTTGATGTTCAACATCAGAACTATTGACTGATATCCATTCACATCGTTTTCACATTCTCTGCAGTTATGACTTCAAATTAATATACATTGAAACGATTCACAAATTACAACAAATACCCTACACCCATAGTTCATAAATAAAAAATCTAAATGGATTAACATTGATAAATCTAATTCATGAGTTAATTAAAAAGTGTTGTGAACACTTTTTGTTTGTAGGAAATAATCAATAAACAAAGAAAATAGATTAAATCAAATGCGCGCCAAAATAGAAAGCTCATTTAAATGAATTTAAATGTTTAAACGATAAGCAATTTTCATTAGAAATCAAATCATGTTCAATGGTTAATGTTTGTATTCAAAAGAATATTGACTTTATATAGCTTAACTTACCATTAAAGCACATTTGCTGATGAGTCCACAATTGAGTGAACATGAACTCAATGAATAGAATAAGATTATAAATATTAAGGTGAAACGTTAACCATGTAGAACTGTGATGATGATGATGATGATGGTGATGAATATCAGACATTATCTCGTTTATGCAAGAACATTATTCGTAGTAAATAACTGTTGTTTTGTAGTTGGAATTCTGTACATGAATATCTAGACAAATACATCATGAATTGGCAAGGCAAACTATGTTCTTAAAGGTTTGTGATTTACATTTAATGATATTACAGATTCAAGATTCACTATTGTTAAATAAGAAAGAAAGATTAGTTCAGCGAAGAGTTCTCTTTTCAGCGAATTCATTTTCAAAGCTGTACAATCGCAAATATATATACTTATTTTTACAGGGTGATAATAATACTGATAATAAACTTATGATATACATGGTGATGGTGAGGTTAAATAAACAAAGGCACAAAAGCTTAATATCAGACCTCACTAAAAGTTTAAAAACTACAGAAACACAGCACAACTTTCCTAACAACCCTGAGAAATATGTGTTTAATCATTCTTCAATATCGTTGACAAATGTACAATTAGAAGCCTAATCTTTGGGGATAAAATTCTGCGACATAAATGAAAAAGTTAACAAAATCAACACACATTTTCAATTCGAAAACTTAATCAAACAAATAAATGGTCTTAATTCAATCTCTGATCAAGAATTCCAACGTTTCAAATCTACTCTTCTTGACAGCTGCAACCAATATATTAGCACAAAAGTAACAGGCAAAAGTCTACTAACAAAAGAACATAGAAATCAGATAAAACTAATTAGAAATAATAAAGACTTGATCATAACACGTCCAGATAAAGGTGCTGGTTTAGTGCTGCTAGATCGCAAGAGTTATGTTGAAAAAATGACAACGTTGTTATCAGATGACACCAAATTCTCAAAACCCATCAATGAGAAAAACAAGACTGAAATTATAGAAAAGCAACTAATTGATGTCCTTAAGAGGATGAAAAATGAGCAGTTAGTCAACGAACAGGTCTTTGAGCACATAAAACCAACAGCATCAATAATACCGCGACTATACGGTCTGCCAAAAATACACAAACCTGGCCTACCTCTTAGACCGATTCTCGGTATGTCTGGATCCCCTTACCACCGTATAGCAAAGTGGTTGGCGAATCTCTTAGAACCCGTTAGAAAACTCATTTGTAAACATTCCGTACGTGATACTTTTGAATTGATCGAGCAAATAAAAGAAGTGAATGTAAGTGACAAAATTATGCTATCTCTGAATGTGGAATCATTATTCACTAATGTTCCACTCACAGAGACCAATTATTTTATCTGTAAGTACGTAAACAATACTGAGATAAACATTGGGATACCTGAGGTTTATTTGAAGGAATTATTACTACGTTGTACTTGCAATGTACAGTTCACATTCAACGATGTAATTCATAGACAGAAGGATGGTATAGCAATGGGATCCCCACTTGGTCCATTACTGGCAGATTGCTTCATGGTCAGTTTAGAAAACAACCAACTCAAAAGAATTATAGAAAACCTCCACTTGTATAAAAGATATGTGGATGATATCTTTATCATTTGTGACAACAAATGTAACTTAAGGGATCTCCTAGAGACATTTAATAATTGTCACTCATCAATGAAATTCACAATTGAAGTTGAAAGCAAACAAAATATTCACTTCCTTGATATGACAAGAAAACAAGATGGTACTTTAAAAAGATCTATCTACAGGAAACCCATGTGGAATGGCCAACTATCAAATTTCCACAGTTGGGTTCTCATCAGCCGAAAAAGAAACTTAATAATAACTCTCGCCACAAGAATACGAAGAATCTGTAGCCCTGAGGTCGTAGAGGAAGAATTGAGCCTTTTAAAAGAGATACTTATCAAAAACGGATATCCTTCTATATTCATTGATAAGAACATGAAGCCGAAAATGCCAAAACCACAAACAACTACAGTAGAAAAGAAAATTTTATACATGAACATCGACTTCAAAGGTGATAGAGCTGCTTATATCTTAAAGAGGAGAATTTCGGATTCTTTAAAAAGAACATTCTTCGAAGCAACATTGCGAATATTATTCTCCAGCCGATCACTGTTCACCAATAATTTGAAAGATAAATTATCGCATCTGACCAA